ACATGTACTTGCTGTTATTAATAGCAGGAACTCATGTTATGGTTTTCTTTCATGATTATTTTATGGGATGGTTTTCTTTCATGATTATTTTATGGGATGGCCTCATCAAAATATGGCAGATATAACTATACAATGGAATAGTTTCAGATTCCAAATTTTGAAGCCTGCAAAAACCACCTTGTCCTTTTTGCCCTGAAAAAGTGATCTCAGTAATACATGTCCTTACTCTTGTCATTGATCATTTCAGCTTACATCAACCAGATGGAGAAGACAATGACCGATCAGATCAACAATGCTGTAGGCCACATTTTATTCATAGATGAGATATATCAGCTAGGTGACGACAGGGAAGCAAAGAAGGCCCTGGAGGCCTTGATGAACAGGGCGTATGAGCGTAAGTCTTTTTCTGTCAAAGAGTAAAATTTGGTGTACTTGATACTCAACTCCCGACACTTTCAAGGAGATGGCATCCAATAGATCAGGTGAACAAAAATGATCTTAATCAAAATGATGGCACAGTAGCCTTCTTCATCATGTTGGTGAGTTTGATGTAGTGGGTACCATTGACATTAGCTTGCCCATTTTGGTATATTTCATTCAGTCTGCAAAAGCTAATTTTTTCAGTTCTAACTCAAGACATGACTTTTTTAGGAATTAGTGTCAGTTGTGGTTAATATGTAGTCCAGCACTATGATACTTTAACACCACAGATGTTGGATGATAAATTGTTTGAATGTGCTTTTCTTATTGAAGTCTAGTAAATGTGTGTTTTACTTCCTTTTTTACTTACTACAGCTCTTGTAGAACCTGACTTCAGTTCAATGTGTGAAACCACTGAACGAATTACTTCATAACATTGACATTACATTGTTCAGTACTTAGTACTTGAACAGTTTACTACATATCATGTAATGTCTTTTGTATTTTATCCAACAGCCAAGACAAGAACTCCTATCATGATACTTGCGGGATATCATGACGAGATAAGGGACAAGATTTTCAGGATAAACAAAGGGTTCGCAAGTCGCTTCCCTGAGGTGGTGATGTTTTCACCCATGACCCCACCTGTAAGTCAAGTAGCAAATTTGATTTTTATTGCACTGAACAATAAATTTCAATTTGATTTCATAAATGTTGTAAATCTAGTGGTTATCAATATTATAAGGGCGTTTCCATTGCTAAATAGAGGCAGAAAGCTGGACAGGTGTGTTATGCCGAAGGGCAGTCATACCGGCTATGCCCCCAGGTACTAGTACAGGTACAGATAACAGAAATATTATTTGGTTTATCAAGATGCAGAAACTAAATTTCAATCTGTGTTCCTAAACTTTCCATTTCGGGTCCAGTTTTTTATTGGGAGACAGGTAATTTCAACTTGTGCTTCAAGTTCCCAGTTGAGAACAATGTAATCTCCAAGCAGATCTTTTGGTGGCTAAAAAGATAGTATCCAACACGCGGACAGTATCCAGCCAGCCGACAGTATCAAATTGGCCACCGAAGGATGGGCCAGCTGTCAGAAAAAAACGGGGCATAGAAAAAGGTCACAATCTTCCCATTCAATCTCTGCTTGGAGAGTAAGAACAATGTAAAGAAGTTCTTTACGTTGTTCTCAAATGGGAACTTGAAGCACAACTTGAAATTAGTAAATGTCCTAGCTGCTGGCATTTTTTTCACAATCCTTTCAAATCAAATAATTTCATATGTTAACCAGAGGTGACAGACCTTTTTGCCATGTGGTGGTATAGTTTACTTTAATTTGCATTCATTGCATTTCGGTGTGATCTGTTGCACGAGAAACACCCCCAAAACATGTACATTATGGCTCTGCAGAACAGTGTGTGTGTGTGGAGTTTACCATACACTTTGTTTATCATGACGTCAACCATTTTTTTCTTAATTTCAGCAACTGGCAGTTATTCTGCAGAACAAACTGAAACAAAGCGGACGGGTTTGCCATGACCTTGACAGCCAGCGCCTCGAGGACGCCATTGCAGCTCTCCCATTTGAACAGAGGAGGCAGTCCAACGCTCGGCTTTGTGACAGAGTGATCCTCAACCTGTCAAGTGTTGAGCCAGACCTTGGACCATCCTTGTTCAGCACGATGGAGGTACATAATATAACTTACATGCATTCAATGATAAATTTAAGGAGAATTTGGAAATGATGTTGAAATGGTGCAGGTTAATAGCTCTATAGAGATTAGAAGGAATCAGAGTTTGAAAGAACAATGTGATAACTTTTAACAATGAGTTTTTTAACCTCCTTAGTTTGAACTACATCAAGATTATTATATACACTGAAAAGGTCAACATTCCACAAACTCCATCCTCAGCTGAATGCCTGTGACATTAGAAGTAACTCACTTTTAATCACTGAAACATAAAATGTATTCTTATTTTTCCTCAAAGTTGTGTTGAAAAAAGGGGTTTGTGACGAGATATTTGTACAGACTGAAATACATGAGTATATGAAATACTATTTTTTAACAGGTCAGCTTTGACAAGGTCCTGGAAGCTGTCATGGAGCTCAAGCAGAATGCAATGGAGGAGGACAGTGATCAAAAGGCAGAGGAGCTGATCAACCAGATGTTAGCGTGCTCAAAGTGTAAGCTATGCGCGCATCACAAAAAAGCCGCTAAGAAAATAGACTCGACTTAGATCATGACAGTATAATAGAGTTGTGGATGTTCTATAGATTTTGGTTTGTTCCTTTTCTGCGTTATAAATTTACAAAGACACTACGTAGTGCCTAGTAATGTTCATTTGGTTAAGGAACTTGTTAAAACTTTACCACATAAGTGACAAAGTATGCAAATATTTTTCCGATATATTAGTTTGTCGTGGGTTTGATTGAATTCGATGACCTTTTCATGATCAAGAACTATCTTTGAAGGTGAAACCAAAATTATACACAAAAGACTTCTTTTCTTTATTCATAAAGGCATAAGTCTTATAATCATATTATGGTGTTTGTACCATTGAAAGATTTATTTCAAAGACCTTTGTGATATTTGTTTATCGGTCATATCTTTGTTTCGTATAATTTACCTTGATGATCTTGTCATGATAGTATTAGAGTTGTACTCAGTAGATGTTTTTCCTATAATAATATACTATACTTTGTCATGGATGAGGTTGAATTTGATGACCTTTTCAAGAACTGTCTTTGAAGGTGAAACTTAGCCAAAATCATACAGAGCACAAAAGCCTTCTTTTCATTCATAAACTAAGGCATAATACAATCAGGTGTTTGTACCATTGACAGGTTTATTTCAAAGACCTTTGTGATATTTGTTTATCGGTCATATCGTATAATTTAGCTTGATGATCTTGTCATGATAGTATTAGAGTTGTAGAGACAGTTGTAGAGTTGTAGTTCTACAGACTTTGGTTTGTTATGAGTTGTAGATGTTCTACAGATTTTGGTAAAGCGAGAATCTAAAGGCTCTGCTTTGATATGGATCTATAGATTTTGGTCCACTTTCTCTTTCTCAACCTGAGCAACCATCTAAATGTTCTCAGTTTATCATGAGAACAACTGAGATACATGCTTCATGTTCCTCTTTGGCAGGAAGCGATGAAGTGTGCAAATGTTCCTCTTTTAGCATCTGAAACCTTACAAACAAGAATATTAAGTCAGTTATTTGTAAAAACTTCTGTTGTCTTACTCGGGTGAACTTTGTCATTTGTTTGAGTTACCAAAATATATGCAAATCTTATCCAAGTAGTTTATTGTGAAATCCATAACAAAAAATCTGTGCTGATTTAAAGGACAAAAGAAAGGCACTGTAACTGTGTTTTACTACTGTAGTATTTAATTGTTATTTTTAAGTCGTTGAAAGACTAAGGGAAGTCTACCTTGATTAAATGGTCACAGGTGTACACCTGAAACATCAATGTTACAACCATATGTTTTCTACTGAGTTTTAATTCCAGGGTTACCTGCCAAAAATGACTTATGTAACACTAACACGTGTATCTACGTAGCACTGCATAATATAAGGAGACTGCATAAGGTTTAGTATAATGAAACTGTGAAAGCATTAGGCATTATATAATATCTGCTGTACACATTCACATGGTGTCGATTATCTGAGTTTACACCAGTTATGTCATTAGTCTGCTGTTCCAACTGTCAATGACGAATAACTTTATATATGCAGCAAATGTTGGTGACAGACAACCAAATGCAAGTGGAAATATGAAAAGTTGGTCCATTACGTACTTTATATATAATATTCGATTATAAAGTGCACATGTGGGTATTGCTCTATTTTCATGTATGTAATACCATAAACAAGGTGAATGATGTTAACCTATGTTATGAAAGAACTGCAGGCTCCAACATGGGAAAATCTTCATTGAGATTAGTAAAATCAATCTTCTTTATGCAGTTCTTGTACTGACTTGTGTTCTTACTTCAGTCTCACAGACATTATCACATCTGCATCAGGATGGTATTAATTTAAAATAACTCGTTCTGACCTATAACCGCACCAAATCGTCTGGATGAACTGCAGCCGGTTCACCTTACAGTAAATGAAGAATTGATTCCCCATTCAAAGGCATAAACTCAGTGTTGACGTCGACACATTCCTATACCACACAGCACTTCTCACATACATGTACTGTAAAAAAAGTGAGGGAGGATGGCACATCCTGTGTCATGAGGCCCCCCCTCTCTGTTTTGAGTGGACTCCTCCATCCCATCATCCCTTGCGAGTCAGTGTACCGCCATTTTGTTCAGTGACAGCAGTTTCTATTTGGCTGAAGGTAACTTGAAGTAATTTACCTTGTTGAAGCAAGGGGCAGAATAAAAACAACTGGTACGAATGTGAAAATAAAAAATAGTTTTATGATTTTTAATGCTGTTCTGTGTAGTGGAGACGCTCAAAACTTTCTAAAAATAATTTTTGATCTAATTTACTAGGCACGGATCCCCCCTTTCTGGTTAGAATGTTCCACTGCGGAGGTAAAATGAACTGCAACCTTACTGTACAGGTCTGGAGAGAAATCCACGTTCCTTGACAGCCCAGGATATCCAAAAGAAAATGGCCAGTAGTACAAGAAACGGTGCAGGTCAGTACATAAGTTGCTTATTCTGCATAGTTATATACAAAAGTAACGCACTCCTTTCTCAGCACGATCAACTTGATGATAGCCGGGTCACTTCAACTGGAAGAGGAACACCTAGCTGTAGTGGTACTCAGCACTGGAAATCCAGTGCACCTCGACTGAGTATAGGGGGTTGGTGCAGGATTTTGCCATTTTTACAAGAATAACACAGTCTGTAATCCTAGAATTTTATAATCTCAATGGAAAAATATAATTTTGGAATAATAACCAATCTGAAAATTGATATGAGGAAGCTGGTTATGAGGGAGCAGCTCCATCTCATTCCCCGGTTTCCAAAAAAATCACTAATAGATTTCACATTCCTTAATGTGTCTTCCCGTGTATTTCAGTGTTTTCTAGTAAATAGGCTTACTGTTGATACTTACCAATTCTTGCCCTTGTTTTATAGAAAGAAATTGGAATACATTCATTTCGCACTTGGATGGGCTGCTGAAGGACTGTCGTCGGAGAAGGGACACAACAGACATCGCAGAGGTCAACGTTTTTATTGAGCGGATTCTTGTGCTGACGACAAATGCAACAAAATTGGAAAGAGCCTGCCGTACTCTCCCGCTCCATGATGACTTCCGGGTAGAGGTCTTGCAGATAGCAAGAGAACTGCGCCTACTGCTCAAGGAATGGAATGATAAACGAGTAAGCATTCTCACAAGTAACGAAGGATCACAGCGAGCAAAGGTCGCAGAAACCTTTACACCTGTACCCAGTCTCACAGGAGATGGACCAGGTCGTCCACGCAAAGACATTGACCTCGATGATGTGTTGCACCACATAATCCACCTGGATTATACTGTGACTGACTTATCTGAGAAATATAACGTGCATAGATCTACCATCTATCGCAGATTAAAAGAAAATCACATTGATCTAAAGAACGAGAGATACACTACCGGTAACCTTAGTCAGAGTGATCTGCAAGAGTTGGTCAGAGAGGCGAAAGATAATCTTGGATTCCACCAGATGGGTCAAAAGGTGATGCTCGGCTACCTACGGTAAGCTCATATAATATTATATCATAATGATATGATGATATCATATGATAAATGAATGAATGAATGAAGACGTTTACAGCATGCAAAATACCTAGTTGCCCAGTTGCCCCAGGCAACCAAATTTTACTTGGGGCAACCTATATACATCATTAAGAAGCTACAATTACTAGTAAATAAATTTGATTTCTTGTCATTTCTTAGTAGTGGTAATCAGGTAAGAACAGGTATGTTTCAATATAGAAGGTTTGTCTAAGCTCATTAGAAATAGAAATTTATATTTACAGCTTAGATGTATGAAGGGGAACATAGATTGTATCAGTTTATAAAGATCTGCTCTCTCTTTGTTGTATAGTTTACATTCTATAGTTACAAAATGTTTCCCATCTTCGATTCTACCTAGGTCACATCATGATCACTCCCATGTACTGACATTTTCGTTGTTCAAGCTATAGGGGAGTGCGGACTCTGTAGGAGTTATTATAGTAAATTTCTTTTGAGAAAGTTTGAAAGTAGATGTCATTCAAACGCTGATAAATGGAATTAGTAATTTGAGAAGTACAATGTATTTGTGTTAGGTGATATGGGACAATGCCGTATATAAAACCATCCTCCAGGGAATTCTGAACTCCAGATGCCCAACATCTGGCACCAGCTTTTTCTTGTTCTATTTGACAATAAAGAGCATATGACCGAAAACTGTCTGCTGATACTTTCTGGCAAATTTTGATATAGTGTTTGATAGCATTTAGGGAGGCTTCCACCTGGATGAGAAACCAGCCTAATTCTGCTCTTAAAACGAGGCCACGCGCTGATCTAGGTATATGTAGAGTTTGAAATTAAGGTGGATTGATTAAAATAATATGTGGCATAGATATCACTTTCAATTTTTAGCTGACTCCAAGATCCAGTCTTAAATACAATAACAAATAATTTAATACTATTAACAAATATGTGTATCTTCAGTTCTACCGGTGTCAGGGCCAAGAGGGAGGAGGTCCGGGAGGCTTGTCGTGCAGTGGACCCTGTGGGAACGGCCCTGCGCCATCCCCTGTTTAGGAGCAAGATCACCAGCCATGCGGCGTACTCCACACCGCATGCACAGTACCTATGGCATATAGGTAAGGCAATGTTCTGTGGTATGTTCATGTACATATAGTAAATTAGTGCAAGCATGCTTGTAGACTAGTCATACTATTTTGGAAATGTAGACCCCTGATGTCCAATGTCACATGCATGTAATTAAACTGAAGTTAAGTAGTCATCAGCATGGTGCAGGTTTTTAAATAGTGGGAGATCCCATCTCTTGGTATAACAGACTTGAAACAAGTGAGGGCTTGAGTTTTTATTTGGCTTTTCAATTTTACCTGTAGATTCCCTTAGATTTTATATGTTTTAATCAGAGCAACTGTTTTTATGAAGGGCCATCCGAGGGATAGGTTACTATGGGAAAATTAAACTTAACTTCTACCTTTATCCTAGTTGTGCATGTAGCATTGAAATTGCAATTTGTTACGTTTCAGATGGTGTGGAAAAGCTTAGCATGTATGCAATCTACTCTACTTCAGTTGTAGATGGGCACTCCAAGAAGGTAAACAGATAATTAGTCATTTTTTCTAGGGTTGGGCGGAAAACAGGAAACACATTTTCTTTGCTAGAACCTATCATTTTTAAGGATGATATGAAATGTTGCATTTTGTCTCTTAAACTATTGAAATTGAACAAATGTCTTAGAACTAATTAGGTGTTTGATGATCGTGAGTAAAGGGACTCTTTTTCCACCAAGTCTTCTATTCAGCCAACGTTTCGGTGGCCGTCTGTCACCTTCCTCAGGGCAATTCTGACTGGTTCACATTGTCCGGCAGCACAGGTGTCTCTGCTATAGATGGATTCCCAAATGTACATTGTTGACATATCTACACATATGCATGTCGTTGATTGGATTACAGGAAAATGTATCTACAATGTGATCCGAAATGTGAAGGGAGTTGTATGTATACATAATGGTGGTCAGTTATTCAACAGTTACAGAGAACTAAGTAAGAACAGATTCCACAAAGCAGTTCCAAACGTACAGAAGTGCCATATGTACATGCTAGTCACAAAAATGTTGGCTGAATAAAAGTCTTGGTTGTGTAAAAAGAGTCTCTTTACTTACCAACCTGATGAAACTATTCTTACATGTAGACTAGTATTCACGGATGTTTGTTTATCATAATCATATACATGTACATTTGTATGCAGGTTATGGCAGTCAATGTTGCAGGGGCCAAGAAACCGCACCACGTGTTTAAAGCTTTCTACACAGCATTTACTTTATATGGGATTCCAAGCATGTAAGATTGTTTAAATCTACCTATATAGTAATAAAGAACTTGAAATAACAACCCTGCATATACATGTTATCATAGGTAAGACTTGAGCTTTGGATGGATTTCTGACATAGTAACTGCATGAATATATAAATCCTTATAGAAACGTCTTGGCATTTCTAAACAAGCTATCAATGTAGCTTTTACCACATGTCCTGCAGAGCCCAAATATGTAGATGGGTTTCACATACAGTACCACCCACATAGTGCCCTGTATATGATATGGGGGTATTAACCGTGCAACGCATCACACTGCAGTACGCAACAAATGTGTACAAAAATGCCAGCAGGACAAGGGAAGGTGAATTGCATAATGGTGACTAAATTTAGGCAGATGAGTACATTGTTGGAACTTCTTCCCAAACACAGGGTACGTGTTGACCATGGCTATGAGAACAAGCATGTTAAAGACTTCATGGATGGTAAATATTTTCTTTTTAATTTTTATTCACGTATAGACACTAGAAAGTTCTTACTCTAGCTTTTTTCCATTTAAATTGTATTCTCAAACCTTCAGTTCCTTTTGATCAACATAGCATATAACATAAAGAAGTGATGCAGTCAGATGTAATTGACATGAATTTACAAAGAGTCATTGCCGATAGATGTATTGTTATTCTGTTGCACAATTGCTATTGATACAATAACTAAATGGATGCATTTATGTAAGCTTTATCAGCCAATACAGTTGTTTCATATTCCTCTCCTTCCTCCAGCTTACCACCAGAGAGAAGCATGCATTGCTGGCGAAAGCATAAGGTGAGACCAACTTTTGAAATCATTTAATTTTGCTTAATTTTAACGATATCAAAAGGTACATGTAGGTATGATGTCATTTTATTACTGAAGTATAAGAGATACAAATGTAATAAATACAAATTGCATATTTATCAAGTACATTTATAAAGCTTCTTGCAACAAAATTACCATGGTTACAGACATACATGTTACAGTGACAAGTCTTACAAATATGCTTCCATTTTGTTGTATAGAAATGGCTTTAAATTTCAAGTTACATTTTGGCTTTTTTTTTCTAGAAATCAACCAGTGGAAAGGTGGCACATAAATGAAGAGACGTATTGCCTGTTCACCTTCCGGGACATCTTTGAAAGTCTTGAAGAAGAAGGCCATCTTGACAGGGACAACAGAACAGACCTGATGCTATTGCACTATGCATTCCTTCCAAGGTAATTTCCCCTTATCATTGTGTCAATAAAGAATCATATAATCTGTCTGTTTTAGTGCCCTGAGCATGTCCTGCAGCTGATCCTAAAAGTGGAGTGGCACTTTTTCATTGAACTAATAATTGCAAGCAGAAACTTTCTTTCAACTTTCAACTGCTCTTGAATATAACCAACCACTCCTTTAAAACTGTGCTAGTTATCCTTATTGTTCAATACAATGTGAGTCTTATACTGTACTTCAATAATAGGATTGGGTACTTGATGGATTTAGTGATTGATTGGCTGTGGGTGGCAGAACATGGCTCAGTACTTACAGCACAACCGTCACAGAAGAGGGCACAATTGGAATCCCTTCTTTCAGGATTGAATGGAAAAAAATGACTCTCTTTCTCTCTATACAGTTTAATGTCTGTTGGTCCCCGTCTTTCCGAGGGTTATACATGCTTGCACACTGATGTGGAGGCTTATTGGTCTGGCAAATTCTAGATCTCTGTCCTTGGACTTCTTAGCCTGAGTGTCAGCCTTGTAACGGATTCCAAAGCTAACAAGTTTGACACTCAGGCTACGGACCTCTGGCATGCCTTTGGCTCCTTGGCATCCTGTTTTTAATGGCTGGATGCCCTGCCAAAATTTTTACAGCTTTCAGAGACTGGCTGGATAAATCTTAGACCTTGGGTAGACCTTCATGCAGTTAACCAAAAGGGGGAGATAAAATTTGGAATAACTCAAAAAATACTAGCAGGGATGGCAACATGCACCTTGTGATGAAGGACGTTATCCAGAGTATCTGGCTGTCTAACAAACAAAAAATCAAGAAACAAACTCAAAATGACTTTAAACCTGTTTACAGTTGTCCGGAATTCAGACCTTGCAGATCCTTCACTGAGGATTCAGATTCAATCCTCAGAGCTGGAAGGTCCAGGAGCTCGGCCTGGGCCAATCCCCCATAGTTCTCAATATGCATATCTGTAATCTTTTTGCTTATTATCTGTGCAGAATCAACTTCATCATGGCTGCAACCATCAAAACATGGAACAGCCACAAGAATAGGAGCCTCAAGCACAAGACACTGGACAGGGTGTGGGAGGACTCTGTCAATGCAGCTGGTAATGAAAACAAAACAGCCATCAAAAACATCCCACCTCCAAAATGTTCACAGAAGTATGATGTCCAAGTTGACATGAGTGACTTTGAAAGTCTGTATGAAAATGTCAAAGAGGATGATCTCACAGACCCAAGGGTCGCAACAATGCCCGTTGCCTTAAAAGAATACTTAGATCAACACCTTCATGATCAGGATAACTATGATAATGACAATGGAAGAAGTAAGTTCCTCTCAGCAAAGAATCTAACGAGACAGTGGATTCAATCATTGTAGGTCAACAATATTACAGTTTTACATTTTCTATGACACCTGACCATGTTGATAGATCAAAAAAACATTACTCTTAGTATCTTACCATAATATATGAATCCACTTTGTCGTTACCTTCGCCAAGAAGGTTATGTTTTCAGAGGCGTTTGTGTGTCTGTGTATTTGTGTGTTTGTAAAGAAGATAACTTGATAAGGCCTTAAGGTGTCCTCCCTGGCTAATTTGGCATTTTAGCTTTCCATCGTTTTCTCACAAAGAAATTTAGAAAGAGCTGTAGTTGTACTGAATATTGATACCTGGGTACAAAAGGGTTATAAACATGATTTTTTGGACCATATGGATGACGTCATCACATTTTGTTGCCCCAAATGTAATTATCTTTAAAGTTATAATATAGCACTTTGGTACAAGTAACTGAAATAAAAGAATGATTTTCATGTGCATAATGGTCAAAGCTACAAACGTATGTTTGCACAAATTGATATCTACTAATTACCCGTAGTTATTAGAGAATAACCTAACTGCCTAATTAAAATCTAGTTATTCTCTAATAACTACGGATAATTAGTAGATATCAATTTGTGCAAACATACGTTTGTAGCTTTTACTATTATGCACATGAAAATCATACTTTTATTTCAGTTACTTGTACCAAAGTGCTATATTATAACTTTATTAAAGATAATTACATTTAGGGCAATAAAATGTGATGACGTCATCCATATGGTCCAAAAATTCATGTTCATAACCCTTTTGTACCCAGGTATCAATATTCAGTACAACTATAGTTCTTTCTAAATTTCTTTGTGAGAAAATGATGGAAAGCTAAAATGCCAAATTAGCCAGGGAGGACACCTTAATGGATTGTCTTGATATTTGGTAGGTGGGTAGGTCTATTTGCATAATCAGGGGGATTAATTATATAGTTTGAGTCATAAAGTCTTTGCTGAGAGGAACATACTTCTCCCATTGACTTTTCTCCATTGTACACTGTTGAAATGTATATAGAAGACTTTTACAAAGAGATTCCTTATGTTACACTGTTGAAATGTGTATACAATACTTTGCCAGAGTATGAATAGTATTCCTTATGTTACACTGTTGAAATGTGTATACAAGACTTTGCCAGAGTATGAATAGTATTCCTTATGTTACACTGTTGAAATGTGTATACAAGACTTTGCCATAGTATGAATAGTATTCCTTATGTTACACTGTTGAAATGTGTATACAAGACTTTGCCAGAGTATTAATCCCTGTATTACACTGTTTAAATGTGTATACAAGACTTTGCCAGAGTATGAATAGTATTCCTTATGTTACACTGTTATTCAAAAGACTGACAAAGTGAGTCTGTGAGATCATCCTCTTTGACATTTTCATACAGACTATGTTACACTGTTGAAAATGTATATGCAAGAGAGTATTCCCTGTGCTACACTGTTACAATGTATATACAAGACTTTGAAACAGAGTATTCCCTACCTTAAACTGTTGAAAATGTACATTTATATAAGACTTTGACATAGGGTATTCCCTAAGTTAGACTGTAAAAAAGGAATATATGTACAAGACTCTGATACGGAGTTTCCATGTTATATTTTACAAAATGTATATTCAAAACTAGCCTCTACACCTTCAGGAAGCAGCTGGAATGAGTAAAAAGTGGCCAAATAGATAATATGCCAGGGGAGTTGGTCCGCCAAGTTTGCCACCCCAGGAATTTTGACTGAAAAATCAAAATTTTGTCTGAAAAACTAACTAAACTAAAGGAAATGTAAACGCACATTCATTAGCAGTTGTGTGTCGTGAGTGTTAGGTATGTCTGCTGATAAGCCGTTCCTATATGACTGCTCACCACACATATTGTTGTAGTTGCATGTTGCAACGACATTTCTTAACCAGCACTGCATGCATACCGCACCAAAGTGCAATTGTAATACTAGTATATGCTGTTCAGGGGAGCATTGTAAAGAATAATAGCGATCGTATGCTAACTGTCCTGGTTTGGACATTTGCGACCTCCTGTTGACCTGTAAGAAGTCTAATCAACAAGTGAATGCACCAATATTCCACCGTTAAAAAACGTAGTTAGTGATTAGCGCTGCATATATACAACTGACAAGTTACCCAAAAAGTTATGTCAATCATCATTAAGGCTATTAACATGTACAAAAAATCTGTTAACGTAGAAATAGCATATAATAATGGACTATTTGTTTCATAAAGATTATGGTGTTGAAATCTAAGCGCTTGAGTCCTTTGTGAAAAGTCGCAAATATTTTTAGGGATTACATTGACCCTAATTCCCCATTTCAGACATTCCAGAGCAGACATAGATGTGTAACGTGATCGTCATATATAGGTGTGTTTTTCACAGCTTGCAGTAGTGCGCGGTGAAGGACATATGTATCTGGTTTCTACGGCGCACGTATGCGCGGTGCGAAGCACCTATATATCTATTGTCACGACAGACATGTGATGTACGGTACATCAACTTAAACTTATTGTGTACCAAAATCACTTCCCATGTCTTCCCCCAAAATTTTTTCTCTCTTTTACTGAAGAAACTCCAAATTGATGACGATAACATTCCAGTTTTGATTCGAAAGAGCACCTGTACTGATCTAACTCATACTTATATCATTAACTTTGAAAGAAGATCAGACAAAGACATGGTTTTGAAACAGGCGTCTGGGTTTTAATCTAGAAAAGGATGATTTTTCAATCAATAACATACGCCTCTCTCTAGCCATACTAGAATTTGATGTAATTGACATACGTTTTCAAAATTTCTTCTTGGAGTCCATTCAAAATCATCCAACGACGCTGTTCGAGGAGAGTTAGGGTCTTTGCCCAATATTATGATATCTGCTAAAATTCAGGTCATTAAATACTGGCACCGTTTAATAAACTTACCTGAGGACTCTCTGCTTCATGATGCATACAAAACTGTATTTACTGATGACCACGACTGGATTAATCATGCTAAAGACATTCTCAACTACTACGGCTTTGGACATATATGGATGAAACCTGAAGCTTATAAAGCAGATTATATTACACACCATCTTCGCCATTGGCTGCAAGATACACATATACAAGAGTGGTTTACTTGCATTAGAAATAATTCTAAGCTGTCTTTTCTTAACAAATTAAAAAAAACAGTTATGAACAAGAAACAAACCTTTATGATATAGATAACTTTGCCTTCGCATATATGTCTGTCATGAAAACCAGATATATTTCGGCTTCACCTGACACACACGTGTCGTGTAAAACTGACACATGTATATGTCCTTTCATGACAAACATGTATGCGGGAGTCATAGCAAATATGTCTGTCATGAAAACCATGATATATATCGGTCTTCACCTGACACACATGTGTCGCGTAAAACTGACACATGTATATGTCCTTTCATAACAAACATGTATGCGGGAGTCATCGCATATATGTCTGTCATGAAAACTATGATATATATTTGTCTTCACCTGACACACATGTGTCGCGTAAAAACTGACACATGTATATGTCCTTTCAGGACAGACATGTATCGCGGGAGTCATCGCATATATGTCTGTCATGAAAACTATGATATATATTGGTCTTCACCTCACACACATGTGTCGCGTAAAACTGACACATGTATATGTTCTTTCATGACAAACATGTATGCGGGAGACATCGCATATATGTCTGTCGTGAAAACCAGAAATATATTTGTCCTCACCTCACATACATGTGCGGTGGAAAAATGACACGTGTTTATGTTTTTTTTATATTCACATATATTTATTGGGTATTAGGCAAATAGCAAAAATTGCTTATATGACACCTTCTACTAAAAAACAACAACGAATATAAACACATTGGCAATATACATGCATAATTACAAACAAGACAAACCAAGATACATACAAACAAGTTGGTGATCTATCAATTATGGAGAATCTACCCGTACAGTAAATGACGTTTTGAACTGCATCAAAAACATTACAGTTTTGTAGGTGTGAAAGTGATGTAGACCCTCGAAGTAGTAACAAACACAGAGAACTGTCATTGAAATGCTGTAACTCTACTATGTTAGAAAGAGATGATAACAGAGTACTTCTTTGACTGGAATATAAAGTTTACAATGTAGGAAGTAGTGCTCAGTTGTTTCACTATGATAGCCACATCTACATGTAGGGTGGTCAATACAATAATGTTGAAATAGATGGTAGTTTAACTGACTGAAATTTAGACGGAGCCTTGTGTGATGAACAGCGGAGTGTCTTTGGCCATGACAGAAATGGAAGTGTTTTGTCGGTCTGTTGAATAGTGAATCCAACTCATTTTTTAAGATGTTCATTGTGAGAGAGGCTTGGATATTGGGGGGTAGATCATTCCACAAATAAATAGTTGAGGCTAGGGTAGGAATGATTTTTTATACTTTTCAGTTTTACAGGCAATAGGGGAGAAATTCTGGTTGGCGCGAAGGTTGTATGGGACAGAGTCACGAATACGTGATGGAATTAGATCTTGTAAATACTGTGGTGCAAGACCATTTAAAATTTTCCAAAATTGGATCAGTTTATGTTTTTGCCTTCTGTCAGGATATGTGTATATGTCCTTTCTGGCGACAGACATGTATGCGGGAGGCATCGCATATATGTCTGTCATGAAAACCATGATATATATTTGTCCTCACCTCACATACATGTGCGGTGGAAAACTGACACATGTATATGTCCTTTCATGACAGACATGTATGCGGGAGACATCGCATACATGTCTGTCTTGAAAACCTGATATATATTTGTCCTCACCTCACATACATGTGCGGTGGAAAACTGACACATGTATATGTCCTTTCAGGACAGACATGTATGCGGGAGACATCGCATATATGTCTGTCATGAAAACCTGATATATATTTGTCCTCACCTCACATACATGTGCGGTGGAAAACTGACACATGTATATGTCCTTTCAGGACAGACATGTATGCGGGAGTCATCGCATATATGTCTGTCATGAAAACCATGATATATATTTGTCTTCACCTGACACACATGTGTCGTGTAAAACTGACACATGTAATGTCCTTTCATGACAGACATGTATGCGGGAGTCATCGCATATATGTCTGTCATGAAAACCATGATATATATTTGTCTTCACCTGACACACATGTGTCGTGTAAAGCTGACACTTAATTGTACATGACACATATGTCTGTCGGGGAAAACATTATATATATATGGGCTTCCCCTCACACATGTGTCCTGGAAAATTGACATATACATATGTTCTTTACATCATATATATGTCTGTCTTGAAAACCAGATGAATACGGGCTTTACCTCACACATGTATGTGTCGTGAAAATCGTTTGACCTATGTGAGCTGTAGATGCATAATTCGGACAACAAACTGTTAGATATCTTGTATCCGATTCAGCAGTTGAAGTATATATATGACTGAATAATTATCCTATAAACACATCCAATGCGTGCAGTATTTTGTTGTAGTTGAAGGGAAGAGTTTCTTTTATTGTCATACACACTCTACACCGGGGCGGCCTACTCTGACGTTGGACTAACATCAAGCAAATATCTTATTATTTTATTTTAATTCTATTTATTAGTTCGGCTGTAAGAAGACCATTTGCACAGCCAAGGCAGCCCAACTAGCCAGACGGCTATTATTAAAGGCTTGTCCTGCTGACAAGACAAACATTTACACGTAAATTACAATAATACAATACATCAACGTGGAGAGGTCAGGGTCACACACCTAGAGAATTCGATAGCTTCCTTTTGAAGGAGGCAATAGTAGTGGCAGTGCGAGCGTCAGTGAACATATCTAGGGTAGGGAGCAACGTTTTTAGTGATTAGCGATGTAAAGTTACCACGAAAAATTACAAATTATGCCAACCGTCGCTAAGGCTATCAATATACAAAAAGTCGGGACGATTCTTCAAACTCAAAACAAAACAGGGGGCCCAAGCTGATACTTCCTCTTTACAAGTGCGACCCTAGTACTAGTAAGAGCTATGTATGTACTTTGAAAAATTAAATATTTGTCTGTGTTAAGCTGTTAAGAGTCTATCCAATGACATGAAAGCTCCTTGGTCTGTCCTAAAGCTGAAACATTCATGAGTGTGTTCTACCATCTATATATGTGTGTATGTATAAGAGAGACATATATGAATGTGTCCTAACATGATATGTGTATGTGTAAAGCGAAAGATATACATGAGTGTGTCCTATCCACTATGTGTGTGTGTGTGTGTGTAAAGTTGGACATACATGTGTTTGTGCGATCGTGTATACATGTGTGTGTCAAGCTGGATACATACGTGAGTGCAAAATCTATCCTTATATATGAGGAATTAGTAGTCTTTATATATATGTAATTTTGCGACACTTGGCCCTCCGTATACTGCAGCGGGGTTTATGCATAGGTTATCCTGTTATGTTCCTACTTTGCAGCAGAGGGTTGGGATTTTTTTTACATTTTTGTATGTGAACAACATAAGACGTTGGTCATCTTTAAGAATATAATTTATTTCTTAGGAAAGCAATTCCTCTTTTCCAGATCACGTTCTACAAACAAAACCCATTCTGTTGGAACTTCAGTGACAACAACATCATCCAAACTGCTGTTCTTGACGTCATGGTGAAGAGGATGCCGGGAAACCATATTGTCAGCCTTACGTCACTTCCGGACGACATTGTGTTCGGCCTGCCTCAGCCAATCACTGCCCTGTCTCTAGCACCTACGTCACAGGACGATATACGTCAGTCTGGGGACATGGTGTATCATTTAATTAACGGAACCAACAGTTCTTATCCTCAACCTCAGGCGCTAGCCATCACAGTCATACCCACCATCCCAGGCACAAACCTGACACTATACCTTCGCTACGGCGACTTCCCAACAAGAGATGTGTACAACATGACAACGTCTGTGGTTGGCTCTGGCTCAGACTTCTCTTTCCTTCTCCCGGACCTGAACGAATCGCCTGTCCTGTATCTTGGCGTATACCGTGACCGGAGCAGTACACAGGGAGGGCCTGGTCACAACCTGAGCGTGAGAGGGCTGACTTGTGATTTTTGGAACGAGAGATCGCACGAATGGAGAGAGGAAGGTTGCAAAGTAAGTTCTTCTTTTGAAAGTTTCCCGCATAAAATTCTGTAAAGATACTGTAATTCACTTCATGTTCTTGGTAGCAAAATTTCACGGTCTGAGAAAAGTGGACATGTTCACGGAACTATATATTGATTGTGGTGACAAGTGCAGGAAAAAGAAAATCCAGGAATTATTCGTTAACTGTAATGATAAGTTCACTGTACAGAGGTGACAGTGAAAACAGTTAACATAAAAGTACCTTGAAAAGTCAGGAATTACAGTATATACTTATAATCTGTGCTTTATCGGCCCTGATACTCTTAGACACTGCGAAATATACTATATGGTAGCTGAGCATTCGAGTTTCGGTGTATGATTTCTTGATTACGTTGCGATAGGTCAGCCCAAGTTCTACAACAACGAAGACGGTTTGTCTCTGCAATCATCTGGTTGAGGATAGGACCGACTTTGCCGCCAGTTTCTTCACGCTTCCAAACACCATCGACTTCGCCACCGTGTTCAGCGCGGACCTGGGAGAGAACCCGGCTGTGTTCGCCACAGTCCTGGCGTTCCTGGGTCTCTTCTTGGTCGGCGCGTTCTTTGCCAGACGAGCGGATAAACTGGACGCCATTAAGGTGCCGAATTCTTATGTTTACCAAAGGAAAATTTATTGTTTTAGCTACGTTTTCTCTTCTTCTTCCCCTTTTGACCTGACTGTCATAGACTGTCTCTCACCATGGTTACTGGTGTTGGGTTTCATCATGTTGCAATTTTATAGTAGGACGGATTTAGACTCCTGTCACCATATATGTGAATGTGTTTGAGTAAGAATTAACAGAATGTGTTTGAGTAAGAATTTACAGAGCAGACCATATTGTTTTTTCCGGCTCCTACTAGTACAATTCATTCACTCGATTCAATCCCTCAATCATCCATCCATATAATGCATTAACTGATGACAGAAAAGCTCTGTTAGTTTGAGGGTTAGCAACATAGTTTGACAATCAATCCGTGATTTTCAAGCATGAAAATGGTTGTTACACAATAACTTGCTAATACTCCATTACTACTTTACTTTACTTTACTCCATTACTACATTATTGCTTGGTAATATTCTATTACTACTTATAGATTTGATACACTGAAAGATTAAATGATAATCAATTGCCAAGAGAATAGAAATAGGCTCATCTATATAGATCACCGTTTTATTGTGTTGTTGCAGGCAGCAGTGTTTCCTTTGCCCAACAACAAACCGTACGACAGACTACAGTACCTCCTGAAGATCTACACCGGTCATCACGTCGGCTCAGGGACCGACTCAAAAGTAGCCTTCCTGCTGACAGGATCGCTAAACGATAGCGACGTGCGAGCTTTGGGAAACGAAAAGAACGTGAGTTTATACTATACTACACGGAATCAGGCTACGAAACTGCGCAGTCTTTACTGTATGTTTTCAAAGTAACTCTCGATGCAATATGTACGTTTTACTTCCATCAAAATTGGAGGCATTGTTTTTGGTGTGCCCTTGTCTGTGTCTTCGCATGGCCCTTAGCTAGATCAGGTTGTAATGAATATAGGTGTTTGGACCTGGTGTTTTTTGTTACATGACCTCCTTGACAGCTGGCAGCTGGTATTTTTTCCCTTGCACGATAATGAAAGACACAATAGTATCTGAGAAGAGGACACAGTCACCATCGCAAACGATCTAAATATTTCATGGAGGTCTGAGATCTCCGAATTCTTTTTGACCGATGTTTTCCTGTATTTGTCGTATATTTCAGGTTCTCACCACCGGTGAGTGTCGCACGTTCCTGATGACGACGTCCTACGACCTGGGGCACCTCCAGACCCTCCACATCTGGCACGACAACGGCGGGAAGGGAACCCGTGACTCCTGGTACCTGGAGAAGGTCGTCGTACTTGACCTCCAGAATGACCTAAGGTAATGTGCCTTTCACTGCACTGTTACTTGAAATAGGGATTAAGTATCACTTCAAGATTATTTTCGTTTAGAAGCAATTAACCTCGTTACGAAAGGATATTTTGGTAGCGGCGGAAGATAGCATTAAATGGTCCAAAAAATCTGATCTATGTTAAGCTCTATAACAACCTGTCCTTGGTACTGAATGAGCTTTCACACACTGTATCTCCACCACAGTTACACGCCCCTGTATGTAACAACATGTCCTTGGTACTGAATGACCTTTCATACATTGTTTCTCCCCCACAGCTACACGCTCCTGTTTGTAACAAAATGTCCTTGGTGCTGAATTCCTTTATTTCTCCACCACAGTTACACGCTCCTGTATGTAACAATCTGTCCTTGGTTCTAAATGACCTTTCAAACATAGTATCTCCACCACGGTTACACGCTACTGTATGTAAATACCTGTCCTTGGTGCTGAATTCCTTTTTTTCTCCACCACAGTTACACGTTCCTGTGTGATGACTGGCTCGCCGTGGACAGATCTGACGGCCTCACCTACAGAACCATCCCCAGCGCCTCAGAAACCGAGCTCATGTCCTTTGGTCATCTTTTCTTCTCTCAAACCAAGAGAAACTTTACGGACGGCCACATCTGGATGTCGACGGTGTCGAAGGGGATTTCAAGGAATTTCACTAGAGTACAACGTATGTTCACATTGGGGTGTCGAAATTCAGGATGTGTACCGTTAAATTATTCAAATAATTAATATATAAATGGCTACTTTACTGACTTTTCACTTTTTTAAGTTTGTTGAACACTATTCAGAGTGGATACAGTAAAACAAACTAATAACAATGTATGGGGCCAGGTTGATGTATGGGGTACACGCCATCATTTCTGAGCCTGTAGGTCAGACGGATCCAAATTGCCTGTACAAAATATATGTCACCCAAATGTACGTATACGCCTGAAGATTGTGAAGGTTGTGTCGTCTCCCACTGATGAGACTTTCCGGGCCAATCTACAGGCCTGTCCGCCTAGCTTGAGGCCTCCCCCTCCCCTACTTTGCTGGGGTTATTTGGGGGTACTACACATTGAGATCCAGTCTACTGGAGAAGGAATTAAAGCGCCATCAAGAAGTTTCAAAAGAAGCCTTTGCCTATAGCCATGGCTCTGAAACCTGTTCTCTCGCATGACTAATACGAAGTGTTTGAACATGTTCAGGCCTGGCCTGCTGTCTGTCCATCCTGTTCTGCACCATGATCGCGAACGCCATGTGGTACCAGACGGAGGACAACGTGGAGTCTCCCGCAGCTCTCACCATCGGACCAATCAGCTTCACCCTCCACCAGATGTTCGTCAGCGTCATGAGCAGCCTGACCGTCCTGCCTGTCAATCTCATCATCGTGCAGATCTTCAGGAAGACCAGGAATAAGCCAGACGACAAGCACGTGTTCGCTGAAGACCTAGGTAACTTTCTGCTCCCAAAAACCCCAACATCCTTGCCCAGATTCTGAACTACCTTAGGTCAGTTATTTTCGAAATTATCATGTTGTAGAATCTTGGTCCAACCTTAAACTGGTGGAAGTCTTAGGCCTGTTGTACTAACCAACTCTGGCGGCTCTCCTTGGTAGTGCAGCAGACTTCCGGTTTGTCGGGACAGCGAGTGCGAGAAGCCCAGTAGAAAATTCGAGGTCACCCTTGCTATTAATCTACAGGCAACCTTGACCACGTATTTGCTTGAAATCAGCAACCTTACACTTCATTGTTTGCTATGAAGCAGGTTTAAACTGCAATTTCCAACAGATTTGTCAAGGAATGAGCAATCCATCGCTTCTGTGACGTCACGTTATGCAGATGGGACACGTGACTGTGGGCAGTAGATCATATGTTGCAGAAAGTCTGTGGCGCCCCCGTCTTTGTTGAGGGATGGTTGTAATGACTTGATGTACATGTTTGTGTTTTACACATTTTGTAGAGGAAAAGTCCAGCCAGTCCCGAGGTGATGGTGAGAAGATGCTCCCACACTGGATGGTGTATGTGGGGTGGGTACTGGTGTTCGTGTCGTGCTTCGTTTCGGCGTTCTTCACGATCCTGTACAGTCTGCAGTGGGGCTCGGAGAAGGCCAACAACTGGCTCAAAAGTTTCTTCATGTCCTTCTTCATGTCAACGTTGATCATCGAGCCCATAAAGGTACATAAAATGTAAAGACTTATAATTAGCTCTATCACTGGATACATATCATCTATCTACAGCGATTATTCCTCATCATTGTTCTCACCTAGAGCTTTCGACTAGTCACTCTGAACTTCTTCATTAGACTGACTCAGTGAGACTTGTCACGTGGCTTCTCTGAAGTGTGACGTCAACAGCGGGTCAAAGGTATCTGGTAAACGATATCGGCCCCCGTCGCGGAGTGATGGGCCCTGATGTAAGTAGCCTCTATCAACCCTCTCAACCCACTGGGTCAGTCTTTTGAAGAAGACCAGAGTGACTGCAGGTTGAAAGCTCAAAGTGAGAACAATCCTTTGTGTTGGAACAAAAGTTTTAACTTTAAACATGTAACTACCAACACAGATGGACGTTCATGATATTGTCAGATATGTAGTTGTTGTCACTAGAATGGGTACAACATTTTCAAACGACCCATGTTGTTGTCTTCTAGGTGATTCTCCTGGCTGCCGCGCTGTCCATGCTGTGTAAGAAGCTGGTTGCCGCAGTTGAGACAACCGACAGTAGCAAGACGGTTCCACCGGTGTCTGAAGAACATGAAGGTAACCTTCTTCTTAGCTAATCTCCAGCTGATCTTTCGGTGGCTGCTAGTCAGTATCAAATTGGTCAGAAAGTATCCCATTTGCCAGGCAGTTGCCATTTGCAGTAAAAAACAGAGCCTAATAAAAACGCATGCCAAAAAGAAGCCGAAGCCTAAAGCTTTGCTGGGAGAGTACTCTTTATCACCATCGAGACCTTCGTTATCAGAAAAGTGTTCATGAAAAAAAAGTTTTTGCCCACATAGTCCTGAGTATCAAAGTATCATTATATGATTGCTGGAAGTATTTGGAGTGCACAAAAAGATTGGAGTAAAACTATAATGAGAAAAGACCGTTGTTATGATTTGCAAATTTCATCGTCATAAAACAGCGGAGCGGTCCCTTGCCGCGAGAGAGCAGTGTAGAAGGGGTCTGCCGAAAATCGACATCTCCATCCTGAAGCGAGCCTGGGAGTCCAGACAGCGGCGGATGAAAGTCAGCAAGACCCTGGCAGAGATCATGTCGTACTTGGTGTACGTCCTCTTCATTCTGTGCGCGGCCAACGTGGGGTTCTCTAGCGGAGGATACCACTTCCACAAGTCGGTCAGCACGACGTTCGACAACAAGTTATTCAAGGTAAGTAATTCTGCCTAACTAGTCATTGCAACTTATGACGCGTACGATATCGAGGAAAGCGAAGCAGACAGTGAAGCGGTAATAGAGCATGTATTCCTATTTGAGAATGCACTCTTTACCACATATAGTGTGAAAGAGCTTGGTCCAGGAACCACAATAATAATGGTAAGAAGGAATTCGAAGGACGGAGGGGGATATTGAGTAGATAGGAAGAGCTCTTCGACAGCCTTGTAATAGCCCGTTGTCCAGTCCTATATATCGTGGTTTGGGCAGGCTATCACCGGGCCTGTAGACGATCACCGCCGCGGAGTTCAACTTAGGCTCCGCGGTACGTGTTGTACGCCTATACGAGTTTTTGCACGATGAGCTTATTGAACTTCAGTCGTGCAAAACCTACCGGCGAGCTTAGTTGAACAGATCGGTTGGTATCGTCTGCAGGCCCGAAATAGCTAGCTCTAATAACCACCCTAGGACTGGACACCAGGATACGACAACATGAGCTTGCGGGGGATTTCATGGTGTGATTTTGCGGTGTCGTCTCTAGGTTGGCAACAGGTCGGCTGTCCAGCAGTGGTTGGAGAGAACCGTCATTCCGGGATTGTTCGAAGAAAATGGGCGAGTGCGCAGGAGCACCACGGCCGGCGGAAACACACCGACCGTTGACGCCCATCTGTTCAGACTCACAGTGCCTCACTTGAGGCAACAAAGGATGTCAAGCAACGGTAATATCATCATTGTTGCTTGAGACTATGTGTTCTGCTATTACTGGTCATCTTGTTTCATTTTAGTAGATTGTCTTGCGGTGAATCAAATATCATATTTACTTGAGTGTACGCCACATTGTCCTTGTCCTTTGTGCAATGCTAATAAAAGATATCATATCTGATGCAAAAGTAGGGTTACTATAGCGGGGCTTGGTCCCATACCCGCTTCCTTAAAATAGGGACCTAGTATGGGAGCCCCGGTGTACCCATAGGATGGCACCCACAGGTTAGTGAAAAAGAGTAGTTTCCACAAAAATGATATACAATATACTCAAAAGTGCCGATGGAACTTAAACGATGGATATTTTCTTTTCTATGACAGGTGTAGATCACATGGCTAACTGGCAACCTTCTAGCAACTCCACAGCTCTGTCCAGTTTCCACGTTCCGTCAGCGTGGAACGTCTCCAAAGATCACGGGAAAAACTTCCTACCATACGTGGGCAAAATTGGCGTATTTGACGACAGCGGCTACATCGCCCAACTTGGAAACACGAGGGAGCATGCAATGGGTGTACTCTCCTACCTATTCAACAACGACTGGACCGACTCTCACACTCGGGCAGTCTTTGTTGAATTTGCCTTGTTGAGCCACAACGTGAAACTCATCTGTGTAGTAACGTACTTGATGGAATACACCCCAACCGGAGGCGTGTTCCCTTCAAAATGGATTTCTGTTTTTCAACTTCACGACTATGTCGGAGCTCAAGGCGTCCTGGTGGCAGTGTTCCAGCTTTGTTTCGCGGTTATAGTACTGTTACAGACGGTCAGGGAGATGAAAAGTGCGTGCCGGCTTCGATGTGAATATTTCCTGCAGTTCTGGAACGTGGTGGAGGTGTTTAACCTGACGCTCTCGTGGATGGCGATCGCTGTAGGTGTGACAAAGGTGGTCATTGCGGAGAGCACGTCATTCGAGGCAGAAGAACGGCACTCTGGTAAGTACAAAGAGGCAAATCATTTCATCGCCTACATGCTCGCTATTTCACTAGAGACCAAGGAAACCAGATTATCCCATATGACATACCGTTCACATATCAGAAAGTTCTGATAGTATGGCGAAAAATTGTGCAATAATGGTACACTATTAGCCTGGGTAACATCCTGGTTGGTGGGAGCGACTGTGGGAGCGGACGTAAACTAACTAGGGTGGTACCCAGGCTGGTACACTATACTAACACTCGTACTTCTGCAATAGGATTTTAATACGAAATGGAGTTACTGTTTTGTCTATCATAATGTAATATTGTTGGTTTCTTCGTCCGTCAACCTTTACAGACTCGGTCCACGAGACGCTTGTCCAGCTAGCCAACATCTCGGCTCTCTTCACCTGGGTGACTGCTGCCGTTGCCTTCATCAACGTCGTCAAGCTCATCAAGCTGCTGCGCTTCAACGCCATCATAGCATCCTTCTCCAGCTGCCTGCGCATCATGTCCAAGGACCTTCTCATGTTCCTGGTGATATACCTCATCGCTTTCCTGGCTTTCGTCCAGTTTGGATGGCTGGCTTTTGGGACGGAGCATGCTAACTTCAAGTCCTTCGCTGATGCGACTGAGAGTTCCTTTGTCATGTCGTTGGGCAACATCAATTCTGTGGTGTCTCTTCTGCGTAACAACAGCATGGCCCCCGTGTACCTACTGCTCTTCGTGGTGACCATGATGTTCATTTTGCTGAACTTGCTCATCTCTGTCATCAACGAGGCCCTGGCGACCATGAGGGAGGTGAAGCTGTCACGTGAGCAGGCCGAGATTGCGCAGGGGATGTGGGAGATGGCGTGGAGGATCACGGGACGTCGTCGGGATGTCAAAGGTCAAAGTAAGTTTCTTTCATGAGAGTTTATCTGTTTTGCTTTTGGTAGTTACACGTTTAAAGTAAGAACTTTCGTTCCAACAAAGATTTTTCTTACCTCGAGCTTTCACCCAGTCACTCTAGTCTTCTTCAATAGACTGACCCAGTGAGATTTGTCACGTGGCTCTGTCAGGTGTGACGTCAATACTGGGTCTCAACAGTTGATCACATGCCCCCACCACACCCCATGTAACTATTGGTGCGCATCGCCCAAACATTTCTTACAATCTTTACAATCAACCTACAATTTCTAACATTATTTGCAACTTTTTGCAGATCTGCTGATATTTGAAGGAAAGGCCCCAGCAGTAGAACTGAATGACATCGTGACAGACATTGAAATGAAGGTTGAAGAACTCTACAGTGAATGGAAGACAATGAACGAGTTTCTTGGGGATAGTACGCCTGATAAAGAGAATGTCCACGGTTAACTTAAGCAAAAGAAGTCGAGGGAAAATACACTCTAACTGCAATCTCCAGTCAAATGAGGTTTGAGCATTGGATCTGACAAATGTACCATCATTTTTTTCATTGCATCACTTGCATGAATGATGGGTTTGATGCATTGTAAATGTACTTAATAACTGGTCTTTACGTAGTCTATTAGTCTGTCCATATGGATAGGTTAACGTTTTTTTAACGTTAAATATCGCAGCACGTCGTGAGATGGATACGAAAACTTAAGTGTCTTCGCGTGTTTGTGTGATTTTTAAGCGGTGAAGTATATATGTATATATAAGTGCCGTGCATACAAAAAGAACAAAAATTGAATGACACAGAATTATGTAATTAGTCAAAACCAACATGAACATAGCATAGGCCAGATGCATGGATGGTATTGTAGAATTTGCTTATGAATAGTAAAAACTAGATTGTACCCATATGGTAAAGGTAGCAATGAGTGAAACCTACTGTGGATGTTCTAAGTATATATCTTCTCGGGTTACAAAGCATTTTCTGTAATACACTAATATTGCATGAATGCAGGACCGCATGCTATATCGATGTTATTTAATATGTTATACAAATAAATGTATGTCTTGAAAGTTTGCATGGCTTTAGTCATGACTGGTCAGATCTGTGTCGTCGTTTTTTTCCTCGGCATGAAATACAATGAACAGGAGTTCCACGACCTTATACCTTCGCCAAATGATCTTAACCCTTCAAAATTCCGACGGACGAATTATTTGTCTAGTTAATTTTGCAAATAAGAGCTGTATTTGCATAAAGTATCAGATAAACGTTAACGTTTATCATACTCTCCACCTAATGACAATCTAAAACAAGTGTCCGCAGGCAACAATTTTCCGTGAACTTTTACATTTATACATACGGAATGCACTTTCTTTTGGTTACTAAGACGTTTTTCGTTATCCCTTTATTGTATTACATGTACTACGATATCCAGTATCCATAATTCCATATACATGTAACGTCATACTCATACGTATGCATTTAGCCCAATAAAGATTCGATATATTTTTTCAAACTTAAATTATCTATAATTTGCACAGTATGACAAGCACTGGCTCTCTGTTCTTTGTTGGGCAAAAATGAAATGAAAATACAATTTACTACACAGTGCTACTGCTAATTCTAAGATTTGAACTTGTGTAAAAATGTTACGAAAGAGGTATGAAAGCTCTTGCACAAAACGTCGTGCTGGTGCACGAAAATGTAGTCAAAAGAAAATGTAGTCAACAAATTGTCCTTCCAGTACAAGGCTTTTGTGTTCGAAGGACACTTGCTCCTTTGTAGTGTCAAACAGTTTTACATTAATGCGGTAATGCTGATATGCATATGGCTGTGTTGATTGTCTGAAACTGGCTGTTTGAATATTAGCATGAAGATTTCTAGTTGTTTTACCGACGTTTTTATCACTTTGGTTCCATCATCCATCGAGAATAAGAAAATTGCACAAATAAACGATACCAATTACTACTTTATTTCTCGCCAAATTGTTACTCAACGGCCACTTTACTTTAGAAATGTGAATTACATCATGGTATTTCTACATGTGTGTACAGTGAATTTGGTGCCATAAGATAGACTTCGAGCACCCAATGATTCACTGATGGCCTGGGACTAGGCCCTGTCCTGTTTCAGAACCATTGGCCATTTCAGCACCAGTGGTGTTACTGTCGGGTTTGATTAGAGACTGATACTGACCCTGCCCTGTCTGATCATGACCACTAGCTATTTCCGTAGATGTTTGGTCTTTAGGTGATGTTTTCGCACTTTCATACATAAGATTTGGCTGTAAGGCTGCTAACAATGCATCACGTGGTAGATTTCCTATATTAAAAGATTGAGTGAGGTCTTGAGACTGACCCTGTCCTGTCTGATCATGACCACTGGCTAAATCTGCAGATGCCGGGTCCTTTGGTAACGTTTTTACATCTACATACATAGGATTTGACTGTAGGAGAGAAAACAAGGCATCACGTAGTAGGTTTCTAATATCCAAAGATTGAAATGAGGGCTGAGAATGGCCCTGATCCGACTGACCATTGCCATTGGTCACTACAGTAGGTGTGGCGATTGTCTTGGACTCAGTGTTGGTCTGAGACTGACCCTGCCCTATCTGATCATAACCACTGGCTATTTCTGTAGATGCTGGGTCCTTGGATAGGGTGTTCACACCTACATACATAGGATTTGCCTGTAGGGCAGCTAGTAATGCATCACACATGGGATTTATCATATCTGAGGCTTCAGGTCTAGCCTGAGACTGACCCTGACCTGTCTCACCATGACCACGTGTTGCTAATGTTGCGGTGCTTGTATTGCGTTCAGTGATGGTCTGAGACTGACCCTGCTCTGTCTGATCATGACCACTGGCAATTTCTGTAGATGCTGGGTCCTTTGGTGGTGATTTCGCACCTACATACATAGGATTTGGCTGTAGGGCAGCTAGTAATGCATCATGTAGTAGATTTCCTATATCCAAAGACTGGGTAATGGCTTGAGACTGGCCCTTGGTGGTCTGAACATTGTCATTGGTCGCCAGAGTAGGTGTAGTGTTTGTGTTGGATTCAATGATTGTCTGAGACTCACCACTGGCCATTGCAGCAGTGGCGGATTTAATGAGACCCTGATATTGGTCCTCAACTATGAAGTGAGAATTCAGCTTTGAGTATGAGGCATTCGGCCCTGTGTCATATAATGACGTCTTAGTTTGCAAGGATTCAGTAATTGAGTTTGAGGCAGCCTGCTCTGTGTTATATAACGGACCTTTAGTGTGAAAGAGTTCGTTGATAACCTGATAGCCTGTCTGACCATGACCACTGACCAGTACATCAGCTGTGGGGTTTGTGTTGGATGCAGCGATGACCTTAGTCTTACCCTGACCTGTCTTATTATGTTGTTTCATATCTTCATACCGGTTATCTTGTGAAAAAGTTGCTGTTTTTGTGTTGGACTCAGTGCTGGTCTTAGTCTGACCCTGCCCTGCGAGATTATGTTGGTTCATATCTTCATACCGGAGGCAGTACCACTAGCTACTTCAACAGCTGTAGTTTTGTGGAGGAATGAGTGACGGTCTGAGACTGACCCTGCCCTGTCTGATCTTGTTGGCTGTCAATATCTTCATAGTGTTGATCAGGGCCAGTGGTCACCACAGAAACTGCTTTGTTAGTGTGTCTACCAGTTACAACATTTGGATCAAAGTGGGGTCCCTGGTCTTCATCTTGTACCAGATTGTGAGAATGGCACCGATCAGAACAATGCCAACTACTGGACCACAGACTGAGCCGATGAGAACAGGTACGGAGGGACTGAGAGCAGATTTTGGGGAACTTCTTATTTCAGGTTTGTCAGACGGGATGAGTGTTGATATCGGATTGTTTGATTTGCCCGCAAGACTTTCAGTTGAGCCAGCATTACGTTTGAAGTACCAGTTACAACGAGTGGAAAAGTTATCAGAGCTTACTCGAACATGGTCAGGTAGTGTGAAAATAGATGTCGAGCCAACATTATATGTTGAAGGGCTAGTAATGCTTTCAGTATTGCCAACTGAAGATGTTGACACTACAAATGTCGTTTGGATGTCAACACTAGGTGGTGATACAGTTGGCTCTTTACATATCAATTCTTCATAATTGACATCTGCAAGCTTTTTTCTCCGGAATTTGGACGGTTGAGCACATATTATCTGTTTTTTAAATGAGGGAAATTTAGTCGTGTTTAGTTTAAAGGGAGCCATCCTGCAGTCACAGTACCAGGGGTTATTGGCAAGATTTAATTTGATAGATGGCAACAAGCCATACGCTAAAGGGGAAATGGCAAACATCTTATTCGACTGAAGTTTAAACTTCGGAGTTTGGGAAGATTTGAAAATGCCCCAGACTGAATCTTTGTAATCTTGTTGTAGCACAATGACACCCATTCGAGCTGGGGAAGATTTTCTAATGCACCAGCCTCAATCATTGTTATCTGGTTTCCATTTAGGTTCAACCTTCCAAGCGCTGGAAACGTAAGGTTTGTAAATGCACCAGACTGAATCATTCTTATCTTATTGAAGTTCAAATGCAACATTCGGAGCTGGGGAAGATTTGTATATGAACTAAACTGAATCCTTGTTATCTTGTTCCTATCCAGGTTTAACGTTCCGAGCTTCGGAAGATTAAATGCACCAGACTCAATCGTTATTATCTGGCTCTTTCTCAAGAACAATGTTGTAAGCTGGGACATATTTGCAAATATACCGACCTGAATGTTTCTCATCTTGGTGGATTCAACGTTGATACTCAGTAGTTTGGGTAGATTTGCAAATATACCAGGCTGAAGTATTGTTATCGGGTTACAGCTCAGGGTCATTGTCATTAGCATGGGTACATTTTTAAACCAACCAGGCTGAAATATTGTTATCTGGTTGTCGTTTAGGCACAACCAAAATAGCTCGGGTAAATTTTCAAATGTACCTGCCGGAATCTTTGCTATCTTATTACGTGAAAGGTACAGCTTCTCGAGCAAGGGTATATTTGCAAAAGCACCATGTGGAATCTTTGCTATCTGGTTTCTATACAGGAACAAATTTTTTAGCTGGGGTAAATTTGCAAATGTACCTGCCTGAATCGTTGTAATCTTGTTATTGGACAAGTCCAGTGTGGAGAGGGAGGGTAGATTTGAAGAAGTACCTCTATGGATGTAGATTCTCTGGTTGTGGTTTATACACAGTTTTGAAAATGTATCAGGTTGGATGTTAGTTATTTTGTTCTTCTGTAAAAATAACCCTTTGAGCTTGGATTGATTGGGAAAACAATCAACAGTGCTAATGTGATTTTGTTGCAAATCTAACAGAATCAAATTTTTGTACCGAAAGAGCTCAGACCGCTTTACAGTCGTAATAAAATTACGTCGCAAACACAACTGAAGGATGGATTTTGGGAGGTCCTGTGGAATGCTGCGGAGTCTCTGGTCTGCACATTTGCAAGGTAAGGATGGGTCACACTTGCAGGTAGCTTCTGGCATGTTGGGCTCCTTCAGGATGATGAGAAGGAAAATCAGCACGTGTCGCAGCTTTCTTCCCATGGTGTCCTAAAAAGAACGGAATGCTCTTCTGTTAAGCCACACTTTGTTTGTTTCGCATAACCGGTAAACCGGCGTAACACTTTGTACAATACAATGCAAGCTGCGTATGAACGGACTGTATTGTTTGAACAACTCACACCGGGAAGGACCCCTACTCCTTTCGATAAATGTGTTGGGTTCTTAAACGTGCATGGGGCGTGGCTTTCCCAAACACAGGACCTCCATTTAACGTCCTATCCGAGGGACGTCCCTAATCGAAGCTAGGTTCTCATTTACACCTGAGTGAAGTGAGGAAAGTCGTGTAAAGTGCCTTTCCCAAGGGCACAACATCACTGATATCGGGCAGGATTTGAACCCAGGACCTCTTGCATGGGTTTGGGCCGAACACTCTACCGTTACGCCACACGATTTATTTCATCTAACCATGGCAAATCGGAACCCGATGTGTTTTTATTAGGTACCACTGAAATTCATCCAGCTCGGTTCTTTTAGTATATGCTTAACTAGATAACTAGAAAATCAACAAGAGTTTGCAAGGGGAAAGAGAGAAAATGTAGTCAAAAGAAAATGTAGTAAACAAATTGTCCTTCAGGCACAAGGCTGCTGTGTTCGAAGGACACTTGCTTACGTAGATGCTCCTTTGTAGTGTCAAACAAACAGTTTTACATAACTGCGGTACTGCTGATATGCATATGGTTGTGTTGATTGTCTGAAACGGACTGTTTGAATATTAACATGAACATTTTTAATTGTTTTACCGACGTTTTTATCACTTTGGTTCCACCCTCCAGATAAGAAAGGGTGAGAATAAGAAAATTACACAAATAATCTTAAAAAAACGTTCGTCTGCATACTTAAGAAATTGCAAAATTAGTAATCGCAATGTTCCTTTGTATGAATAAAGGCATATTGTTGACTTGATTATATGGATGACATCCGCGCGCGCATGAATTTTCGTCTGTTTCCAAAAAAAAAGTTTTCGACTATACTGTACATCGTACATAGAGCAAATACATGTCGTTTGTTGCAATATTGTTTGTTGCAATATATGCTAGTGTCATTAAATTGTCTAAAATAAGTACAAAAATGTACCGAAATCAATTCAGGAAAAGAAGTAAATGTGAAGAAATGTAAATGAAGAGTCTATTATTAATCACCTTACCATACTCTGTGTGTTTAGTCATTTGTTCAACCTTTAAGACCACGTAGATTTCATAATGAAGGAAAGATTTTTTGCCAAACTTTTTTATTCGCACGCTCTCGCGCTCGTCAGTTTTGGGGTTCCCGGAGGATGTCATCCATATAAGTAAATCAACATGGCCCAAAAGTCCTGTTAAGTGCCAAGAAATAAGCTGTGACAGGTACTATAAGTTTCTTTTCTGAAGTCTTGTGAGGGTAAATCATACTTAACAACAGGTCTAAACCGTTTTAATCAGTCTATTGTCTAGAAACGTGGCATGCATGGCCATTCTGAATTTTCTGCTTCTGACAGAATTGGCCCGGGGAGTAGAACGTCGTAGAATAAAATTATCAGGGCGCAGCACCCCTGTTCCCCTTTTCAGAGTTAGTTAAGTTAAAGTCCTCCCGCAACCATTAGCATGGCCATGGTCGCATATGGCGGCGCCCATCTCCATTTCTATGAGAAAGTAGCAGCATGGGACTTTTGGGCCCCAATTTGACCATCGTGTTATGGACTGCTCTGTTAATTCTTCTTAGGCCACACAGTAGGGGGCTAGTCCACTGGTAGTGGACTGTGTTTGAGTCCCAAACTCTTTCTCAAATGCTGAGTACTAAGCAGAGAACGCATTATGTACCATTCTTAAAGTCTTTCTTCCATATTACGTGCTTAACCTCAATAGGCTGAGGACTCCAAGCACGGTACGTAGAAGACGTACACAAGACTGTAAGGTTTGATCCACTCACACCGGGAAGATCCCTACCCTTTTCGATAAGTGTGGCGGGTTCTTTAGCGTGCTCGAGGTGTGGCTCTCCCCAAACACGGGACCTCCATTTAACGTCCTATCCGAGGGACGTCCCTAACCGAAGCTAGGTACTCATTTACACCTGAGTGAAGTGAGGAAAGTCGTGTAAAGTGCCTTTCCCAAGGGCACAAGATCGGTGACATGGGTGGGGATTGAACTCGGGACCTCTAGGTCCTGAGCCGAACGCGCTACCGCTGCGCCACACGACCCCACGACTTCCAAGTCTTTGGTATGACTCGGCCTGGGATCGAACTCACGACCTACCGAATGCAACGCGAGCACTCTACCCACTTGGCCATTGGCCATTTCAGAACTAAACAAATTTTCAACGGGATCCGTTCGTGTGCATGGTTGTTGAAAGTTTTCCTGGTGGTTTAACTTTTTTTACAGCTGCCTAACCTTGCCAGAAAACGTCATAATCATTCCGGCCTTCAAAATATATTTCGAGAAATAAACCAAATGAAGGTATATTTAACTGACATCACATGTAAGAGATTTTCTTTTTTTAACAAGTTCATTCCTTGGGAAGAAACATACCTTTCAAACCAGTCAGAATTGCTTCAGTTGGCACTTTCTAGGGAGGAACTCTGTTGATGAGCGTCCTTCGGTAGCTGATGTGTAATGCCGTGTGACAAACAATCCACGATTGTTCTTATGTATGTTGATGGTGTTGATTGTCTGAAACGGGTCATTTGAATATTAGTAATATTTATGATCACAATAAATATTATACACTACCTTGAAAAATGCAAGATTTATTTTTCTTATTTACAGAAAATATTCCTGTGAGTGGTTCAAGCAAATGTTTCTTGCCTTATTCAAGAATATTTTCTTGGAGCAAGCCTAACTTTATAATACATACATTTTGTACTTTCTTCTCAATATAATTTTTCTTCAGACAATTTTTCTGTAAATCAGAATTTATATCTAATCCACACTGAAAACTTCTTACAAGAAAAGATTTCTTGAACTAAGAGTTGACTGTTCTTGTAGCACTAAATATGAAGACAATCTATGTAAGCCTTATCAATTTATCGTGTTTCAAGACACAGACAAACACACACAGACACACACACACAGACACACACACACACACACACACACAACACAAACACACACATGCACACACACACACACACACACACACACACACGCACAGAAACATATACACACAGAAACATATACACACAGAAACATATACACACAGAAACATATACACACGAACGAATCTGAAAACCTTCTTGGTGAAGGTAATAACGGGTAAACTACAAGGAGCGGCTCACAGTGGAAGAGAACTTCCTACCGAGGTGAAAAGTCTACTCTACTCTAATAATGAGTACATGTGTGAGAAGTAAAATCACTTTCTTAAACTTGACAAAATACATGTAATGCTGATCATGAATCCATTGCATACGTAAGAAAATTGCTTACCTACATTTCTCTTTAAATAATTCCGTATTTGTCAGCCAAGTCTTGCATTGTGTCCGGAGGTCGATGAATGGGCAATTTTTCGACACTTACAAGTACAGCTCCATCCAAAGTGTTGACAACATGGCGGGTGATTTGAAGTATTGCTAACAGTGCCTCCTAGCGGGATATTTGGAAAGCTCAACAGCGCTAAAGCAGGTAAAATATAGCCCTGCCTAAGCTAATTAGCACGATCGCCATTTGAAATGTCCAAGCTTTGATTTGACAACAACAAATTGCATGTCATAAGCTTGCCTCAGATACCAGTTACAAATACCCGGCGAAGGCGACAAACAATACAGGATTCTACTTTTAATGTTGCAGTTGCCTTTTCTAGTGTTTTAAAGAGACAAACTTGTAATAGATAACTGACCTGAAATTAGACAGGTGTGGATGCACCTGAAGACACTGGAGCCTGTTTATAATTCCGCCAAGAAAAAGGAGTTCCAATCTTAGAAAAAGAATAAGTCTGGCAGCAAATAAAATCTCGCCGATGTGATACCCGTTGGAGCATAAAAACGCACACATTTGGTGCACGAAAAAACAACCAAACATATTTTGAAATGGCGTTTTCAGACTGAACATCGGTGTATTGATATGTTGCTAAACGAAAGTCGTTTGGCCCTGCTTGGGGAGTACATAAAGAAGCGCAATTTCAAAATTTGTCAGTTGGAAGTTCAGTTTTTGCTGTCCTTGGTCAGGGGAGTTCTTCAGCTTCGTTTAAAAGGTAAGAATGTGCTCTCAACGTCAAGAATTCGTAAAACTATCTCTACTTATACCATAGATCCGTTGTGCATAGATTTTTTTATGTGTAGAAGATGCGATAGGAATCTATTTCACCACGAGGTGGTAGACGACAAAATTTCCTAATGTAGAACGATGCGTTTTATCCACGTCTATTAGTTCCTTACTTGACTATAACTTCATGTTTGCAGTATCTAAACACCAACCACAGCAGAATGTCTGACGAGGAGTTTGGCTCGGGATCTGGTGAGGACTCTGGCGAGGAGAGCACGAGTGGGGCCGAGCTGGTCGCCACCGCTGGAGCGGCGGGGAAAGCCGCCAGGCCGCCCGCCAACCACCCTTCCACTCTCGACATGGTCGTAGAAGCTATCGAGGTACGTAGTTTGCCTTCTCAACACTGTTTTATTTTTCAAATGGTTGACATTCTAAGGCACCGCCACCGGTGAGCACAATTTTTGTAGGCAATGAATCTCATTCTGCCTATGAAATCGTCAAAAGAGAGACCGAAGCCCGGCAGAAAAGCTTCTCTTCCAGTGCTCAAATATGTTTGACTGCTTGAATCCTCTTTCACGTGAATGCTTCTAAAACTCGCTTTTCATCCCCAGGCACTCGCCGACTCGAAGGGCGCGTCCGTGCAGGCCATCAAGCAGTGGATCCCCGCCCGCTACCCCACGGTGGACCCCGCCCGGCTCGGCTCACTGGTCAAGAAGGCGCTGGCGAAGGGACTGGAAACCGGCAGGTCAGTCAACTTCTGATAACTATGGAAGCATTTGGCAGTCACTAGACTCACTACTAGTATTTGTTGATGTCTAATAATATTGCGAGATAGGGCCAATATCAGTGCTGTAACGTTCTTTAGTTATTTTTCAGTGACGTGGACCTTTTTTATTTCCAACAATTAATAACACATGCTGGCGGCTCACTAAAGTTTTTATACCGCCATATACGCAGAGGACAAATACAGGACAGGACAACTCATTTTCACTTCAGTGAAGAAAGTAGTGTTAAATGCCTTTCCCAAGAACTAAGATCGGTGGCATGTCAGGACTCGAACCCAGCACCTCTTGGTTTTGAGCATGTACGTGTTCTGAGTCAGCACTCGCCGACAATTCTGGTTCCTCCACAATTTACTAACTGTTACTCTTGTTACAGGCTCGTCCGTCCAAAGAAATCTGAGGGCCTTACCGGAGCTACAGGACGGTTCAAAGTGGGCAAACCACCTAAACCCGAGAAGAAACCAGCCAAAAAGAAGCCTGCAGCGAAGAAAGCCAAGCCAACAAAGAAGGCGGTCAATTTCGAAAATGGCGACGCCGCCTCCGACGAATCTTCTCCCGAAGAAAACGGCGTCTACGATTACCCTGATGAAGGCAGCGATGAGGAAGAAGAATCGCCTCCCTCCCCTCCGCCTAAGAAAAAAGCTAAGGCCAAGAAACCTGCTGCTACGAAGACTAAGAAGTCACCCAAGGAAAAGGCACCGGCCAAGAAGACCAAGGCAGCGGCCGAGAAGGCGACCAAGTCTACAAAAGCTGCGGCAAAGGAACCGAAGGCAAACGGCACGTCCAAACCAAAATCTAAGACGAAGGCAGCGGCGGAAAAAGAAACAACGAAATCAAAAAAGTCTCCCAAGAAAACCGCGGCCAAGCCTAAAGGAAGACCCAAGAAGGTGGTAGCTGATTCGGACTAGTCGGTTGCCGTTATGACGTCATACCAAACTGAAAATGGTATCTATCTTAAATGATGTCAAATGGCTTTGAAAAATATTCCACATGCTTCGATTCTTTGTAGCTTTTATATCAAAACATGACGGCCGTTTTAACGAGTTTGTGAATTTGGACTGGGTCAACTGAACTTCTACCTCTACTTCAAGACTTGATTTTCTTGTGATATTGTGATTTTCGTTAAAAAGTAAATTTGATGTATTGACTGTAAGTAAATTTGTAGCATCTCGAGTGTCTATGTATTATCCTTATATTAAATAAATGATGTTTTAAGTATCACAGTCTGTTGTCTGACTTAATGTGAAAGATCATTTAACTTAACAGCTAAGCTTTCAACAATTGAGGTAAGTCAAGAAAAATTAGGAAATACATTATGCCACTTTAAAGCAAATGCCTCCTATCTTGTAGATGTATAGGATTAATCTTTAAAGCATGGTCCAAATCCTATGTCCTACAGTTAGTATGCATGTAATAAGTACTATGGATAGCTTTTAAGTTAAGAGGGGAAAACTCAAAATTCGTGAAAAATAAAATGTCTTAAGGGGTGACTGTGCATGTGTGTGTATACACTAACAGGGCAAGAACATTGAATGTAAAAGATACATGGGAAAATGCAAAATGCATTGCAAAAGTCTTAGAATAAGGCAGAAACAAACAAGACCTATGCATAAACATAGCTACAAAATACAACCAGTTACAGTAAAGGAGGCCTCAAGGATAGAATGATAAGGGTACGTTGTGTAAAAACTACTGTCATGGTAATAGGCTAATAGCACGAGATCAACTCTCTAACCTAAGTTACTTTAGTTGATACATCCTCCCACTTATGTTTTGTCACCAAGCAAATGGTTAAACCTTTACAAACATAAATATGTAGTTCCCATTTAGTTTCACACTATGACGTGTTCACTATGGCCTACTACCTATTACATGCAAAAAGCATAACTCACAAAAACTGAGTCCACAACACATCGGTTACTATACATCAGAAAGTCATGTTCTTTAATGTGGAAAAATGCAGATTGCTGAATTACCCTGACTCTAAACTCTCTATACAGTGTGGCGTATCAATAACTTAAACATCATCACTATTCAAATAGGTTGTCCAAAATAGATTCACTTCTGTTTAGCCTGTTTTTCACACAAGTGTGCTGCTACCTGTTTTAATTGCTCTTGAAAATAACCTGCTACACTGTTCTTTCTTGTGCTATCTAGGGTTTGACAGAGCGGCATCATTTAGTGTGGACTTTTTTAGCTCTAGTTCGACCATTTGTTGCTATGTATCAGAGGAAGTTACCAATACCACAACTATTTACGTGAATAGACTAAAAAATAGTCTGGTTGGTCTTTTTGTGTTGTTGTGGCCAAGGGCAGATGGAAAACTCCTTGTTGATTATTCGTCGTCTCCCCTTTTAGTCAATTGCAAAGGTTGCAAAAATTCACAGCTTTTAATTTGTGCCAAACTCTTACGCTGTTCCTACTTGCAATTTGTATGACTATGAAGCATTAGCCTACATACAAATGGTCAAATTGACATATGCTTTCGGAAAAACACATACCGGTATGAGTCATCTGTCATTTCTTGGGAGCAAATTATGAGCAGAAGTTATCAATATATAATACATAAACCCTAAAGAAACAAATGTAAGCTGTACATGGCTGTACAATTTAAAGGCTAGCTCAGTTTCAGATTAACAAAGGACGAACATGCTGAACTTTTACTTACACACAAATAAAACCTACAGAACAAATTGTTTAAAAGATAAATCTTCATCTGTGCTACGTAACAGTAGACTAGTGAATGATGCTGACTCTTCAGTGTCAAACACAAAAGGCTCCGCCCCTGAGGCATCGCCAAAAATATGACTTTTGATACTCTGAACTCTTGCTACGAGCCCTTTCAATGTTTCTCATGTCGACTATGGTGGATTCGATGATCAAATAAAATCACAACGGAAAGAAAAATAAATCATTTATGAAATACAACTTTCTAGTTCTTCATGGAACACACCCCCTTATCTACAACATTGCCCCCCACTGTGCTCAAATGCTTCTCTATACAAAAAACTGGCTTCTCAAATTTTACTCTATGCTCTGATCAGTAGAAAAAATGCTCCATAAAGGCTCTAGTCAGTAAATGGAGCCTAGACGACTTGCAGAGATTATCTAACTTTGCACTGTGATTATCCTAACATGTTTCTATCTTCTTTCTATGCACTGAGAATCTAACAGCGTATCCACAATTGCAGGTTTCTACTCATATTTCTTGTTGATTATTATTCAACATGGCATAACTGCGATCATCTACGATGCACCATTCAAAGATTGCATATCAAATGGAAAAAACTTTTCACTCCTAATATTTTTCACAAGACTACGTAACTTTCGTGTGAGAAGGTAGTCCTTGCATCCTGATCTTAAGGCAATATTTTAATATCATGACAAAAAATTTCAGTGTTTAGCAGCAGAGGATCATATTATTACGCTCAAAGTGACATTTTTGAGCACTGAACACTGTAGTACACTCACAAGTTGCTAGGAGTTTGACATAACACGTATTAAAGTCTACCAAAGGTATGACAATTTGCCCCCTTTTTTCCATTGCAAAGGAGGGCTGCTTGATTGCAACTGTACAGATATTGTAGTTTGATTCCTGAAAAGGTTAATAAATAATGAGAGATTTCAATTTTGTGAAGATGCATGCTATTGCAATGACAGGACTGAAGGATAGAAACGAATGTCAATTCGAAAAAAAAAAGAATCATGAAGAAAATTAGTGGCAACCTTTACTGACTTTTCTTTATCTGTTGATTGAATTTATCTTTACGGTCCCATGATGCTTTGCAAGTGTTCAAGTGGAGAAAGTCTCATGTTTCGCAAAGCACCATGGGACCGTAAAATAAGGTACATTTAAGAATGTTTTTGTATTCACACTTGAAAGGATTGGAGATTTCTTGCATTTTCTTTTTCCCTCTTTCCACGAGAGCAAGAGCATGCATCTGCGGGAGTGCGATACTTTGCGGACGTGTTCCGGCGCGGTCGGTTCATGTGAGTCGCAGGTGGTCGGGTCTGGTGGTGGGGACGGGGTACGCGGTGGCGGTGTGGGCGACGCTGGTGGTCGGCATGGCGATACTGGACGTCTTGGCGGTGTGGAATGGCAAGTCTCCGTTGCCCATGGTTACGTCCATGGGCTCCACGTCGTTGGAGTTTGAAGCCTGGTTTCCGTCAGAAAACGGGAACTTGGTCGGGCTGTACGTTAGGAAATTCAGCTATTAACCACGATCCTTCAGATACATGTAAGCAGATACTTACATTGTACATAATCAAATGACACTCTGTTATATTTAACTACAGTTTGTTTATATCAAAGGTTACATTTTATTTTAATCTTAACCTCCAAGCAGATCTTCTGGTGGCTACAGAGATTGCAAATGATAACTGTCTGCTAGATGGATACTGCCTGGTCAATTTCATACTGTCTTTGCAGCCACCAAAAGACCTGCTTGGAGATTATGACCATCTGTCACTTTCTTCAGGCCAACAATGATTCTGATTCGTACTGCAGCTAGGTTTTGCTGCTGCAATATTACAAATGCAGCCCCGGCCCCATAGAGTTTTTTCACACAAGATATTTATATTGTCAAGCATGGTAAACAAGTTACAGTTAATCTTAAGAATGCTGTCCCAGATGCAACTGATTCTATATCAACCCAGAATAGTTTCACTTTAGGAACTAGAATCCTTGTCACACTTTATAACTACATGTATTCTTGTTTTTGTTACAACATTTCTCTTACATCTTGTACATCTCTTTCTCGTTTAAAAAAAAAGCACAGATGACAAACCTGAGGACACCTCCTCTGCTGACGGGGCTTCCCATCATGCCCCACTTGCGGGGTGACCTTGGCTTGTGACCTCCCATCCTCATCATGTGATCTAGCAGGGAGGGGGCCACGTAGGTGAAGCCCTGGAACACCTGGTTGGCACTTTCACTCAGCATGGAGTCATCCGGACTATCCACCGGCGTCTGCTTGGTAAACTTTGTGTCAAACTGACTCACATCTTCCTCACTCACCTGCACAAAACAGGAAATACGTGTCAAAATCAATTTCAACTAAACAGGTAACATTTGCGAAACAAATGCATAATGTTTACCTTTGCACATGGTCTGCTCTGCTAATTCTTACTCAAACACTTTCATATATATGGTCAGACAGGAGTCTAAGTCCCTCCTGCTATAAAATTGCAACATGATGTAACACAACACCAGTTACCATCATGTAACAGACAGTCTGGTTCAGGTCATTGACCTTTTTGGTTTGGAGAAGAAGAAGAAGAAATGTAGTAAAAACAATGTTTTCCTTCGGTAAACATAATAAATTATTGAAATCATGCCTAAATCAGTATCACGTGTATGTCATGTCTAAACTTTGTTCAATACTTTCAATTGTAGTCTGAATTTCGAACTAGGGGCAACAGAGTAATACTCACTATTTCCGGTTTGTAGGGAGGTTCCACCTTTCTCTGGAGTAGGTCATCCCAGTTAATTTGGCGGAAGAACGCATGGTTCTGAGATAGAAATAATGTAAACAGCAACAAAGTTAGTCAGGTTCCTGGCTTTATTAAAAGTACCTTCTCTTACTAAGACTTAAAGTACGTAAAGTGACGATAAAGATGATGCAGGACCATGTGTACCTTGATAGGCTCTGCATCCTCTGGACCAGTCCCCAGTCTGACGGGCACATGTCTCTTCAACAGCTATGAGGAGAGTAACAGATTTGTCAGTATGTGCAATATTCTCTCACCACCCTTAGTCACAAGGGAAACCAGACATTACACCTACAATAATTGTGTTTTGTTTTGTTTGTTTGTTTGTTTGTTTCATTAGGATCTCCCTTTCAACTTTGTTAGAACTCCTGTCTAACTTTGTTAGAATTCTTTAAAAACTATTTCCTAGTTTACTGCCATTTCTCCTCTTCAGTGCGATGTTAACTTTGTAGGGATTGTAAGGACTTACTTTCTTGAGGATGTCCTTGGCTTCAGGTGTGAGGTACGGAGGGAGATTCAACTTTCCCTTGAGGATCTTGTCAATTGTTTTCTTCCTGTTGTCTGCTGTGAACGGTGGCTGTGAAAGAAAAATGAAATAGTCAAGACAAGACTCTGGAAGATGTTGTTGTAAGAGTAATGTTTCCTTTAATATGTCAGACATCTATGAAGAATAAAGCAAGCCATTACAAAGAGTCTGTTTCAATTTTTCTACATGTTCAGATAAGAAAAGAGATGCTTTTGTATAAAAGGAAATGATATACAAGTCGTTCATTTTTAACATATACAAAACTAATAGACATCTATGAAGAGTAAAGCAAGCCATTACAAAGAGAGTGGGGTCACTGTTTCAATTTTACTATATGTTCACATAAGAAAGGGTGCTTTTGTATAAAAGGAATCATATTCTATACACAAGTCGTTCACTGTTAACATATACAAAACTAATCTTCGAATAAGAACTAAACTTTGAAGGTAGAATCCAAGCTTTGTTCCAACACAAGAAAGGGAACTCACCGTGGATTTTTAGTTGATGTTGTCAATCTTCAGCACAAGTATGATCCACTACGCTGACTGAAGTTCCTTTCTTATGTTGGACCAAAGCTTACACTCCACAACACTCTACACTAGATTTCTATCCTAGCTGAGTAAGAAACCAAACTTACCGCTCCTGTTAACATGTCGTACATGAGTGCACCCAGACTCCACCAGTCTACTGCCTTCCCATGGCCACTTCTGGTCAGGATCTCAGGGGCCCTGGAAATAACAGAACACATATATAGTATGCCAATTGGTATGCAGTGCTACTAATGTTCATGTACACACATGTATTCATGTTACATTTTATGTTCTTTACTTGCTTTGAAACAACTGAACATATGTTTAGGACTTGAATCTACATGCAGAAACTAGAAAATGAAATATGATTCAGCTTTTGATAAGAAGACAACACTCTAACTTAGGCACCAATTATATTATAGTTTTATACATTATAGAGTTACTATTTTTTTTTCTCATTCTGAAATCTGCCAAACTCTGCTTTAGCTACACATCAGCATACACCAAGAGCAAGTCAGCATACACTGAAAAAAGTTAGAGACACATCTGTAAATAGTTTCATTAGGTTAATAATATAAGTCACTGAATAAAGAGACTTTTTTTACACAACCAAGTGTGCTGTGCAATGTGAACCAGTTAGAATTGCCCTGAGGAAGGTGACAGACGGTCACCGGTATGTTGGCTGAATAAAACACTAACTTGGTCATGTAAAAACAGTCTCTTTACTCAGTTTGAGCCTAAGACACAGATAAAATTGAGATGATTAGAACAGTAAAAAAACGTACATGTACTCAATGGTTCCACAGAATGTGTGCGTCATCTGGGTGCCATAGATGGACTCCTTACACAGCCCGAAGTCAGTGAGTTTGACATGCCCTCGCTGGTCCAGCAGGATGTTCTCTGGTTTGAGGTCTCGGTAGATGATCCCCTCACTGTGGAGGTGGGCCAGGGCAAGGCTGATCTCTGCCAAGTAAAAACTGGGGACAAAACAAAAACAATCAAGTTATCAGACACACTTCTGATGTACCGATGTAAGTATCAACATTAGCACTTCAACTAAAAAATTACCTGGTGTCCAGTCTATCGTGGTTGGGGCAGGCTGCCTTTGGGGCTCTAATAGGTAGGAGTGTTGCACTAATAGTTTGGCACGCCGGGAGTTGACTTGCCCCACCACAAGTAGAAATCATGGTGGGCCTAATCAAACTCCTGCTGTGAAAAATGTACCAGGGGAACATAGCTCAGGCAGGTGGGGGAAGAGCTTCAGCAGCCCCGAAGAAAACTTGCCCCAACTGTGATAGACTGGATACAAGGTTAACAAGGGCTGCTCATCGGTCAAAGTTTGCATTCTTCTTTTTTGCATTTCTATGCCTAACTGCACTGGTCCATGTACTGGGTTTACATACACATATAGGTGTATGTTGATCATTGATTTTTATTTACTCTAACTTGACTTACCAGGCTGTGTCTTCCATGAAGATTCCCTCTCTCTCCAGTTGCATGAAAAGCTCTCCTCCTGTACAAAATAGGAGAAAATACTTGAGTTGATCACAAATGTCACAAAAAGGAGATACAAAAAGCTACATACCAAAAATAAATCTCAAACACTATGAATACTAGTATATCATATTCCTATATATTTTCCTGAAGAGTTGAACTCACCACTGAGGTACTCCAGGATGAGGTACAGTTTTCCATTGGTCTGGAAGGCATACTGGAGATCTACAATAAACGGGTGCTGTGGAAAGAGACAGAGATGTAAATGAAATAATACAATTGTACTGCAACAGAAATACACTTCACAATCCACTGGTATTTTTGCATTAGGTACATTTGTATCTGAAACATTGCTCATACAAATGTTGTAATATTATACAAACCTTGACTGCTTCCAGAATATTTCTCTCAGCTTTGGTGTGTGCTGTGTCCTTCTGATTTCTGACTATGCTGGCCTGAAACATGAGAACAACACATTATTATAATGTTCATTGTTTCTTACCATTACAAACATACAGTACATTGGCAGGGAAGAACATGGCATGCCTTCCGTGAATTGCAGTGTTTCACATAAAGTATAAAGCAGAACATTTAAGTTATACATCTGACTCAACAAAACAGAAGATATAAAATTAAAACAGTACTCTTATTTATACAAAGGTTCAGACCATTGTTTCAGAATTATCATTTCATTGCATTACTGGTATCTTTTTACTACAAGTAAAGAAAGAACACACATTCAAGGAGCCTTAACACCCACCTTTTTCAGGACTTTCATGGCAAAGATATTGCCTTGGTTGCCACCTTGTGTTTTCTTGACTTGAAACACCTTCCCGTAGCCGCCCTTCCCTAGAACCTTCAGCAGCTGGAAGTGTTCTGGGCCGACCTTCTCATGGTATCTGTTCACTGTACCCTCGTGGATGTCCACTGTCTCTAGGTCATCAGTTCTGTGGCAAGTAAACCAAGAATCTTTAGTTGACACAACAAAAACTACCAGAACTCAAGCTATACTATATACATGTAACTACCACACACAAAAAAAGAATCATTGTTATCTGGTGAGACGCATTCCAATGCAATTTCAGGGCACAAAACTGAATTTTTAAAGTACATTTTCTGGTCATTCTTATTTTAATGTAGTAAGCTGAATCAATCCTATCGCATAGCATACTGATATCTATGAGGCAAAAATGCTATGTCACTGAAGAAAACAGTTACTATTTATGGGTGGTACCCAAAAACTAAAGAGATGCTTCATGTGCTAGTAGCAGTAGCTTGTTTGAACTTTCTGGGCTACTTCAAATGCTTCAAGTATGAAACAATGACAAAATTGTGTTAAGAAATGGCAACAAATGTCAGATAAATTTCCTCATCCAGAATATTTTAGTTTTGCTGCCCTGAAATTGTATTATATAATGTAAGTAGGTAACTAATTTAGACTGAGGACTTAATATTAAAGTTGTTTCAGAATTTATTGTGGATAAATCATAAGCTAACAAGACCATACATTGACAGGCTGTCCATCCTATGATGAGATGAAATTAGAAATTAATTGCCATAATTGCTGCGATTGGATCAACAGATTAGCATTAAAGCATAATTGATCATTTTGATATAATACAACAGAGGTAATCTTTGGGTTATTAATAGCTAATAAAAGGCAACACTTAAAGACTGGAATTGCTCATTTTAGATGACATACAGTAACTGTCCTCCAAAAATTCCCTTCAAAAATATCATGGTCTTACAATGTACCAGTACATGTATAACAATTGAATTATACTAGGGAAACTTCAAATCACAACTTAAATCAGGCCAAACAAAGAGCGTACCTGTTACAGAGAAACTAAGTTTCATGGACTTTGGTCCTCCATTGTCTGACCACAGAAAAACTGACATTATTTATATGACAGCTACTCTGAAAGTCTGACTAGGCACAATGTTTGACTGAGTACTTTAAGGAAATGGGTAACAATTGGCTGCAATGATAAAATACAACATCTCACTCAGACAATAGTCAAGCACATTGTGACCATGAACATGTTAAGTCAGACAAGAGAACATTGGTATTTCTCTACCTGACCAGAGTTCTAGCCAGTGTCTGTCTTTCTGATGGAATTTTGGCTCTTGTGATGGACAAAAATTTTACCCAATCCATCATCTTTGACAAACAAAAATTGGTGTGTAAAGATAAGGGAAAGAGATGTGATCATTTCATTAAACAAAGCTAAGTATACCAGCAAAATTTGTCCCTTAAAATGAAGGAAAGTGCATTTTAGAGGGTAAAAATAAAAAATTTCACCCTAGAATATTGTGGTGCCTTTGGTGCAACTGTGCTTGACATCGGTGTTACATCAAACAAAACTGAGATGAAAAACAAAGTGAAAATCTCTTACCTGGAAAGGAAACCTCCAGATCCACCTGAGCAATCCAGGAACTGATCCTGTAGGCACAGAAACAAAACATTTAGAGAACTGAAATATAAAATGTGTGTGCATACTAATGATTAAACGGCTAGTCGGCTACCCACACGTGTATGCTTTTTAAAAAGTTCTATTTTCCTTTCCACTATCTGAGCATCTCAAGAATATCTAGTAGGCCTAGACTTAACGTGGTTCAAAAACACTTCTATTTGATAAGTACATGATAAGTCTACATGTACTTGTATATTGCTAGGTTTTTACAGTACATGTACATGCAAGTGAAAGGTTATGTTTGATCTGGCGAGATCTACTACTAGTATGCACATAACCCTGGGGTCCGTATTACTTGTTTGACATTGTTAGCGTGAATATGTCCACAATGATTCAAAAGCAGAACTATACCAAGAAGTGCAACACTACAGGCAGAAGTAGTACTCTACATGAATATGCATATAATACATAATCATTTCTGTTCCAATTTGAAGGGTCTTTTCCAACATATGGCAACTATTAGTAATTACATTAGATTGCCAGACACATGCACAATTAATTACAGTGATTATAGACGTCTGCACTGCAGCTACTGTACATTTGCATTTTTCCTTGCCCGAATCATGACCTAAAACTGTCCTCTAGTGTTTGCAGTAAGGATGCGCAGAGACAAGATACCAGGAACACAATGGTCAACTTGGGGTCACTGTGAGGAAACACAGTTTTCCTTGCATGTATGTGTGATGAAGCAAAGGCAATTTGGAAGGAGTTCAACTGAAAATGAAATAAACTGTACAAATTTTCTTGGTCTCATACCTGACTGTGGAGACATGCTTGTGCTGACTACTACATACATTTTGTTTTGTTAAACATTTAACCTGAGCGTTAGAATAGAAGTATACTATCCAAGCAGACTGGTTTAGGTTTCGACTTATTTTCGGCATGTTTTAGGCATATTAATCAGTTTCTTTTTTGTACTGGTTTCTTTTTTTAGGCCAATGGTAAATGGTGACTGTCTGCCAAATAGATACTGTCTGGCCAATTTGATACTGTCTTTGCAGCCACCAAAAGATCAGCTTTGAGATGAGCTGAAGTAGCCTCATGGCACCAAATCATTTATACAAGTTACCAGGCTCACAAGTACTTTCAATGTGCCGGGTACCTCTGAACTTTAAATCAATATTCTCCCTGGAGACATTGATGGAAAAGCGCTATGCGTTATCCTTTGTGTAACCTTTATGTTCCAAATTTACATGCTACACATGCATCTGCACAAGGCAAGGCTAAGCCAAGTGTAAGTAATTATTGGGGTGGGTGTTTCTAATATGTGGGGGCGGGGTAAGGGGTAAGTCAGGTGAGACACAATAGCTTTTACAGGTGTGGTTCCATACGGGATGCTTTATACATACCTTCTGAATGTATAATTACATTGAATTTCTGAAAATGTGGACAATGTCCAAGCTGACAATGGTTCTTACAGGTGTGTGCTTTTATACCTTCTGTATGTATAATTACATTGAATTACAGTCCATGCTTTTCTGGACATATTTTCTTTGTTCTTGCATCTTGTAACCAAAAGTGGGGCAATGTATTCAAGTGCTTGTAGAACAGTGTGACAAATTTAGGATGGCAGTCAAAATAGTTGTTGGTAAAGTGCCATGAATAAATAATGATTATAATCAATAGATTGTTTTAATATAAACTTTGACCAACAGGCTTCTGTCAAATTTTCGATTGCCAGCCAATATGCGATATTCTGTAACGTTACACAATACCAACTGTTAGTGGAAGGTCGTATTTGTAGAGTTAGACCAATCAGATGGTTTAGTACAGTACTACTCATGACGAAAGGCTTGGAAATTATATAAGTTTATGGATTGTTATGTCACAGTATGGGCTCCTGAGTCCTAGGCATTAAAATCTGTCCGCATCATAAAAGACACCTTAGGAATAATACAATAAAACTGTCTCGGTCTAGAACAATGTAGAAGTACTTAAAAGCCTTGTGGGGCATCAGCTCTTATTAGAGTAACATTGTGATACAAACAAAAGACAATCACTTTCACAATGACGTGAAATATGGAGCTTCCGAGATTATGCAAATGAGTACATGTAAGGAACATGTGTAATGACATTGTATTGGTATCCTTCAGTAAACTTATCAATTGTTGACATGGCACATATGGTTTATCTATTGTTGGCCATTGGTTATATAACATTAACAAAGAAAGAAAAAAATAACCTTCCATGATTTCCATCTCACTATCATCGCCATTTTTTTTCTTAGTTAGCATCTAAATGACGCAGCGTATAAATGTACTGACGATATAGCTTCTTCAGCTGTGGATAAAAATAGTGTCACTATGGCAAAATTGGCTGTCTGTCCCCTTTCCATGCGAAGGCCAGTGTCCGCCAGACTTGGACTTTGGCCAGCTCTTTTCACATGCAGGCCACTCTCATATTATACCCGGTAAAATTATCGTGCGCTAGCCAGCCTTCCTTTTTTCTTCAATGATTGTCATTTATCCGGTACGTGGGTGTTTTAACGGAGTGGTGGGTCCCTGAAAGGGTTTACTGGAAATATCCTTTTTTCCGCCGCTGAGCGCTGAGCAAAAATTATCATAAACTCTTACTTAAGACCCCCCCCCCAGTTCCGGGTTCAGGGACGGTCATAGAAAAGAAGAAGTAATACGCAGTTTGAAAAGCAATTTCGTCCCCCCAAAACGCCGAGTACTTATTACAAGTTAAATCCTGTCCTTAAACTGTTAAAATGACTGTTTTTGAGGATCTTACAGATGATTCAAACATGTTGGCACCGGTGACTCAGAATGAGTGGCTGACATGACAAAAAGAACGTACGCAGGCCATGGGACATCCACCTCAAGGCATGGACGCCACTTCCGATTTAGATATCCTGACAACTTCCCAATGAAATCTTACTATCACTTTAGTGGAAAATGTGGAGTAATGTTATCGATTGGTTGTGGTGGGAAATGATGTAGATCTGGATGTGGAAATTCGACGAATTCTAACTCGTTTTACAGTGCAACCCGGGTACTACAAATATGTCAGACTGGGGTGGGGAGGGGGGCATCGTGCACTGGATGTTACATGGTAGACTTGGGGGAATCTAACTGGATCATGTCATCAGTACGGAAATAGTGAATACAACATCATAGAGGTGAATCAAACAGCGTTTCGCTGTAGAAAAATTCAGATCGATGGATGGAAAATTACTGTAGTATGGGAGAGAAATAAATGGCGGGGGTAAGGTCCAGGCAGGGCCAGGGCGGCCTTGCACTACCGGCACCGGCGAATGTAGGCGCTACTTACGTCTAGTTCGTCATCTGAATAGTTATCCTGGCCCTCCGTGTCCAGGTCCAAGTCGAATACGTCCACCATGATGACAGGTTGAGGCTAAAATCGGAGAAAATCCATACAAATGTCCGAGTTTTGGTGCCAAAGTTGGTGAAACGTGTCGTATGACCGCGAAACTACCGGCGTTTCTGGCCGCCGACGTCACGTGTGACGATTACGTATTCTGACCAATCACAGGCCAGGACTATTCATAGTGGGGATCGTCTCAAAGTATAATGTTGCCCTTGTCATAAATTTGTCCAAGCATGACACAACATGCCAAATACTATTACTACTTTTTGTCGTACCACAGGACTGTTTATCAAAGCCAAAGAAAACGAAAGATAGACAATAGGATACTGTGCTATTAGGTTGACTAGTTGAGTAAAAGTAAAAGACGTTGGGTGGATAAGAGAACAAAAATGGGCAGATCTACACAAGTTGATAAAACATCAATAAAATATCATGGCAATGATGCCGAAAAATTTAGCCTATGCAAGTTGTCATTATTCATTGTCACTGACTTATCCAATAGCGAGTCACAGTTGTTACTTTGACACGTCATAATTGACACTTGACCTAGCCAGTTTCCAAAGATCTCTTATTTTTAACAGTGCTTAAAAGCAGGAACGAAACCACTCGAACTTTTGGATTCTGTCCCCAGTGCAATGAACTCCTCACCAACAGCGCAGAGTAATTTGTTCATTCATAAAAGAAGCTCCGGAAATATATTCCTTAGACGCAGCGCCAAGCAAGACGTCGAGGTTACGTTAGGTTAATGTGCGTACGGTGACGTTTTCTTAAGATCTTCCGGCTGCCCGCTGGCAGCAGACGTATATATAGGAAGGGGATCTACCGTTAATATCTGCAGGTGCAATGCGTTTAGTGTAGCCTCTACCAGGCTTCGGGAGGCGGCTGGAAAGAGTAGAAATTGGCCAAATGGAGAGATAATATACATAGTTGGTCCGCTAGAAAGTACAATTTGCCGCACACAGCCGCCTCCCGAAGCCTGATAGAGGCTACATTTAGTGGGCAAGGCTGTTTTCGTTAGCCTCTACCAGGCTTCGGGAAGCGGCCGGATACAGAAATTGGCGAAATAGACGAAATAGACAGATAACTCGTAGACCGGCAAACAGTACTCCTTAGCGGACCAACTTAACTGCAGCTGGCTGTCTATTTGGCTAATTTATGATTTTTTTCAGCCGCTTCTGAAGCCTGGTAGGTCGAGGCTAGCGCTAGTTTTCGTGGGCATTGTGAGATGTATGAGCTGCACTACTGATGGAGTGCCAATGGGTTTATAATATACATGTACTAGATGTAGATCTTATAACTCTAGATCTACTGCAATTTACCGTTATATTTTAATCTTCAAGAAGATGAAAGGTCCGGCTTATTTCTACAAGAAACAAGCTTATATATCTTGTTTGGAGATTTAATACTTTCTCACTCTATAAAGTACCTAACACTCCCTCCTCTTCATTGACTCAATTTACCAAAACTTTAAGAATTAGTACACCACGGTCAAGACCCATTGACCTTGTTCATTATTTTCCTTCTCATGGCACCACCTGATATGGAGATTCGAAATGCCATATTTTTAAAGCTCCCTCCTTCTGTCTTGACGACTCTCCCCCCATAACGTCGTAGATCTAGATATCCGGTCGATCGTGCGTAGATCTGTTAGTTTACAGGAAAGTTCCACCCACGCCGTGACTAGAAATAGATGTTGTAATGATTTCCGTGCGTTGAAAGACCTCACATCCCCTCTGTACTGCCGGCTGAACGTGACAAGTCCGATAATACAAAGGCTTTCAGAGAAACACGTTCACGTAAACCTAACTTATTTAAGGCAGTGGGCCGTCTCAAAACAACGTTCTGTGATCTTCTGTAGCTGCATGTGTGGCATCGAATAAACAATTACTGAGAAAGAAAGGGATCAGAAATGTTTAACGTTAAAATTAGAAAACAATTGATATACAAGTAAGCGAACTGAGAGTCTCAGAAACTAGCTCTTGTGAACTAAATATTGGACATATAAAAAGTGACCTTGAATCAAGGATATTCGGAAAGAAAGGAAAACGAAATAAAAGCAGGCAGTTTGTTTGTAAGACACTACAGCGTTTTAGTGAATGCAGACATTAACCAAATTACCATAATACAGTACTCTACTACTCAGTGTTCTAGAAACACAATAATGATTCAGCATTTGTGTGGTCATGATAAGCCGTAACGAAATGATTACGTTTTAAGACTGACGTTTCGTCCTTGTGACAGTCCCTAATTCCCAGGCGGAGACGGCGCTGGTTGGTCCTTCCGGGGAGCCCCCGCCGGGTCAAACCATTTCGCGCCAAAAGTGGGGGAGGATTGGGTGTCGTTGACGTGAACACAATGTGATGACGCAACGGTGTCCAGGTGTCATTACACCCTGTTTATAACTGTCACCAGGCAACGGGTAAATAGAAAGTGGAAAACGAGATGGGAAAGTGCAATTGGTCTCGAACAACGGTGAAACTGCTCTCTGTTATGTAAGAGAAGTGGGGGAAAGATACATATTTGCACTTTTGTAGTGACATTTTAAAGCTTTTTCAGACATGCACATAAGATTGAACTGGCCTTGGTGTATGCATCTGTTTTATGCAACAAAAAATTGCAAGTGGTGTTTGATTCTTTATTCTCTCAAGTTCTTTTTTTTCACAAATCAATATTTTGCTGCCATGGAAAAATGTGAACTAGATCTAGTTAAATTTTCTAATTGAGGAAGATATTGGACAATGTTGGATGGCACGGACCTTCAATTTTATTGAAGTGTAAATGAGACTTACAAAGTATGGTGGTAATACCTGATTAATACAATTATGTGCATCACTATGATAATTTGAGAAAAATATTGCTTTACATCACTTTTCCAACTGTATTCTACAATATTACATCTTGTTGATACATCACAGTTGAAACTTTCATTTGCAAATATAAGAAGAATCCTCAGACTGGTAATATGAAGCTAAATTGAGATATTGCCTTATATATAGTAAGGTTTACAATAGAAAATTAGACCTTGATTGTATTGATGTGAACATGGCAACTTAGTGTTGATACTTGATAGTCATATTGAATTCAACAAGTGCTGTTAATAGTGACATCTTCCAAAAATATAGATATGTGTCTACAAGAGTCATCCTTATGTTACAATTGTATGCTTATAAAAATTAATGTACAAAGTACTGTCAAGCCAGAATCTAAATCAAACTATTTTCTCATAAACACTCTCTGATCTTGACTTGTAGTGGTAATATCAAATTACTTTATATACATAATCTGTTGTTTAATCGTTGTTTTCAATGATTATGATTACAAAAATTAAAAAAGAATGTTAAAGCTATGGACTGTGCTGCCTGTCAGGTCATAGTAAGAAGTGTAAGAGGTCAGCACCAGGCTTGAGCACTCAGCAGTAAGGCACTAACAATTATCACATCTAGTATTCCTCATCTTCTTTTCACAGCTGAGACTTCCATGACTCTGATCCAGCCCTGAAACATAAAAGAGACTGTCAAGAACAAATCACAACAAGGGGACAGTATAAACACTTATTAATCATTGTACAGGTGATTTCATATAGCAGACAAAGCAAATATTTTATAATCAAATTTTGGCAATTGCACGAGTATGTAATCCCGATAATCAAGCACTGTTTGCTCAAAATAATTTACTTTTCACCAGGTTCTGAACTGGCTGCCATGTTCACTGTGACATCACCAGCAGGATAACTAATGTTTGACTGGTGGCAGGAATCAAGAGCTGGCCTGACCTGGAAGCATGTTTCTTTATGGTTTAATGTTAAATACCATCAAAAGAGTTACACTGTTATTGTTGCAAATGGTAAGAGAATGTTGTATTTTGGTTTCATCTGTTCTTCAAGATAATCATAGCATCTACATGTATAATACTATATATATTTCACAATAACGATGTTAACTTACTCTGCATCTGCCCTGGACAGAGTTCTTCCAGAGTGCATGATCTCTGCAGCCTGGGCCACTACTGGGTCCCTGTTCATGCTGGCTACAGCTAACACAGCATCTCCCCTGGGATAGCACAGTCAAATCATTTTAAAATCTGTCTGGTAAATATCACACTTGAACCCATTTTTTAATGTACATTCAAGGACATTATATATATAATATTATATATAATGTCCTTGGTACATTTTGTTATTGAAAAATGTTATTGACATCAGGGAATTGAAAGGGCACAAGGGAGAAAAGATATTGCAAGAAAAAAGAGTACTAAGTATCTCATTTAAATCTTTATATGTTTGGTATACGTCACTGTTCACAAATAGGTACATTTTGGTCTATTTCTATGGTAAACTAATGCCATGTTTACTGTTACATATCATTTTAATATCAAACCCTCATTATGTATATGATGTACATTTGTTGTACTATATCAAAGTGAGAACTTACTTGAGATAGTAGGCCACAAACTGCATGTCATCCAGACTGCCTTCTATCACAACATCCTCAAATCCAGCACCATGGCCTGCACCAGGACAACATAAGGCATGCGGATATAGACATGTTCAATACCAGGTTTCAGTAGGCTGAAACGTCTAAATATCATTGGAGGGCATGTAACCATATTCAAAATCCCTTAGCATGCATGAGTAAAAATTTCATTTCTTTAGTAGTTTGTCACCAACATTTTCTGTGATATGGTACATGCAGAGTGAACATACTTCCGAGGTTTTAAAAGAAAGAACATGTAACATTGGGAAGATACAGTAAGTACATGTACCAGCATATCTGAGGCTCTTGCCATACTGCATGGTCCAGAAGAAGGGAACACTGTTGAACTCCACACCCTGACCCAGCATGTTCAAAGCTGCACACCGACCTGGACACAAATCATTTTTGACACAACATTTAGGGCACACCAGAAAAATAGCGCGGAGAGAGATAAAAAAACAACAACAACAATCTGTTTTAGCTAAAAGGTAAAAAAAAAAAGGGTTTAAGCATTAAGGCACTACTGCAAGAAGATATGGACAACCCGCGCCTATATTGAGTTCCTGTAGCTGTGCAGCTGCTCTTTCTGTAACAATCTGATAGTAAGGACAGGACTATCCTCAAGTAACCAAGCCTTTATGACAGCTAGAAATTCCTCACCATGTGCCTTA